CCACATTTCATGCTTCTAACACTTCACACACACACACACACAAAACAAGAACTAAAATCAAAACAAAAAAGCAGGCACCTTTTTTGTGTTGTTCCAACAAACCTATTTTCACATCAAAGGTTGTCGTCTGTCTCCCTGCAACTCTTGTGATAGCTGAAGAATCTTCTCTGCCTGCTGGTTCTTACCTGGACTGCTAAACCAGAGAAGTTTATAGTTTCTCCATGGAATACCCTTCCAGCATTCCAGGAGTGGAGACTGTTTGCAGTGTTCGGGGTTGGATAGGGGACCAGGTGAACCACAGACTCAGAATTAGGGTGACTGCATCTCCAGCATCAGAATGGATTGCCCGGCTCAGAAAGATAGATATTCCAGAGGAACTCCCCCACACTGGACATGATATTTTCATGACCTTCTGAACAGGGATGTTCCATTTGCAAAGTCATTGGTAATAGATCTTTGGTAGGCCTGCTTTCTGTGGATTCCTCTCGTTCAACAGATCATATCAGAACATTAAAACAACACCAACAACACACTGCCAGCGTTTATGATTACATTCAAAACAGGTTGCAAACCTCAGGGTCATCTGCGCAAGATTTTCTGTGCCCTCTTGGGGGCCGTCATCTTTTTTTTTTCCACTCCTCGGTGTTCATTTCTCACCGGCTCTTTTGGAAAGCGATTCCCCGGGAAGAGATTTGGTTACATGTTTGGCTCAGCGAAGGGAACATCAGCCGCCGGGCTTGCGAGAGTCTTGGCAGAGTTTTTGCAAAGCGTTTTGGGTTTCTGTGCCAGAGAGCTGGTCTGTCCGGGTTCTGATGGCTGAACTTTGGAGGAAGTTTTTTTTGCTTTCTGCTCTGGCTTGGGTCGCAACAGGTATGTTGAAAAATCTTGGGATTTATATTTTTACTTTCCTTCCCTGATTCGTGTGGATTGTTTTTTCCCCACTGAGATATCCCATGAAAGGATAAACTTTTACATTCTGTTGAGCCTAGAGGCTTCCTCCACGATTCCTCACACTTTGGGGTATCATGGGACTACCTCCCCCCGTAATCATCCTGATTTTTATTCAAGAACCAGTGGCTTTAGGTGAAATCATGGACAGGACCAACACAAGTGTTCCTGCTGGTGAAAGCGCACAGCGAGGCAATTTTTCCCCTGAAAATCTTCTCCTTGTTATAGACACTCAATATTCCAGTGGAGGGGGTGCTGTTTTTCAGGATAGATTTTTCTGGGAGACAAATGGCTGTAAGAAGAAAGAGGAACTGGGAGCAAATCCAGGCTCCTGGGGTGTAGCCAGGCTGCAAACTGCTTTCTAATCCCTCCAAATTGCATTCACACACGAGACACCAGTAATGTTAAAGAGCCTGCCAAGGTTGTATATGGGAATCAGCCCATTCTCTCCCCTCAGTTTGTTTTGAAACTGTAGTGTCAAGTCTGTTCTCAAATGTTGCATTTTTTCCCCAGGATTTTCATTTCTCTAATAGTTCAACGTTCTTTTTTACCACAAGGAATAGAGACGAGTTCCTTCTTTAAAGTGTCAGTTGCTAAGTACTTGACTATTCAAACAATGCCGAAAGGAATTTTCCACGGATGGCTTCTCGCCCACATGTAAATTTTTTCTGTGAAATATACATTTCAAAACATGCCTGTTGAACATTTTTCTTAGATTTTTGAAGTCGTATAGCTTCACTTCTGCAAGAAGAGGAAAATGATTGTTTTATAACACTAGACTAGGTGTGGTTTCATGGTATGCAGGGATACAGAAAACATGGAAGGCTTGTTTGCTTGGTCTTTTTCAGTCATCATCGTTGGTTTTTGTTTTTTTTTTGTATTTTTATTTTTATAAGGGATAACAAAAAGGAAAAGGGAATTGGGATTGATGTATTTCATGCATTTCTTAGCCACCTTTCAAGATCACAGTAATGCCCAGTCAGTATGCAACATAAAAACAATACAATTCAACATACATATTTAAGTAAAACCAGTTACTTAAATAAAATATAGTTAAGCTGAATATAGTCTACTTACACAGTAGCATTAATGCACAGATATGACATTTGTGGATAATGTCATAATGTACTTTCGTCACTAGGTGGTGCAATATCTGGATTGAGTCATGGAGCTCTTTTTTTTTTGACTGAATGTGTCCTTGGAAGAAGCTATAAGATATACTTTACATATTGATAGAATCAGAGGTGAACAACTGTTTATTCAAACATGAGCCTGCCTCAATCCGCAAATTAGCTTGCTTTTGTTTTGCCATCTAAAGATATGCACAGCTTTGTTGACCCACCCAGTTTCCCCAGCACTGCTTTTGAAATAATTTGCATGGCTGCAAGGGAAGTGCAAGAGAATGAAACACACATTTCCATTAGGTGTGAGCTCAGCCTCTCTAGAGTTTCCTCAATCCTGCTTTTGTGTGCTCTGTAACAATAGGCAGAGTAGCTATAGAGTAGATTGAGAAAGCTCATTCAAAACCTCGTTGAAGGAGGGCAGATAAGATGTGGATCTGAAGCTGAATTTCCTGCAGTGTTGTTTTATAACACTAAATGCTCAGATTAGGCTCACTCAATGTTGTTCTTTCTTTGACTTTATACCTTTGTTTCTACCCAGCTACGAGAGAGAGGGACAGGTTTCCCTGCTACTTCCATAATGGCTGAAAAGTCATGCCTATGAAGAAGACACCTCTAGGGACTTCTGCATACATGTTCGGGCCTCTTTCTCCTGCACTCTTCCTGAATGGATTTCCTGACACAACAAATGTCGAGTTGCTGAGTTTTGTCTAATTATCATAATGGCTCCTGTTCAAGAGCCATACATTCAGCACTGGTCTGCTATGTTTTCCAAGTGTAACTACCCAATATCCTTATCCTTATACCCTCCCCATTCCTTTGCTTCTTTTTGTACTTGGTGTGTTGCAATGTGACCATGTGGGGAAAGACTCTCTCTTAATGTCTCTTATCTTACTTTCCTGCCCAAGTTTCCTCTCATTCTGAGATTCAATGGCTATCTAGGAGCAATGCTTTTCGATCAGGAGGCCTTTGGGTGCTGAATGTTGCCTCCAAATTGGTCTTCTTGGTAAATGTAAATGTAAAGGTTCCTCTTGACAATTTTTGTCCAGTCGTGTTCGACTCTAGGGGGCGGTGCTCATCCCCGTTTCCAAGCCATAGAGCCAGCGTTTGTCCAAAGACAATCTTCCGTGGTCACATGGCCAGTGCGACTTACACACAGAATGCTGTTACCGTCCCACCGAGGTGGTCCCTGTTTATCTACTTGCATTTGCATGCTTTTGAACCGCTAGGTTGGTGGGAGCTGGGACAAGCGACGGGCACTCACTCCGTCGTGTGGATTCGATCTTATGACTGCTTGGTCTTCTCACCCTGCAGCACAGGCTTCTACGGTTTAGCCCACAGCGCCACCACGTCCCTTGACATAGTCTTCTTGACATAGACTTTTTCCCCCTGTCTGTATCCTATAAATACCCCTTTATTCTCTCTGGCCTTCTAATCCTCCATATACTTCAGCTTCTTTGTTGTGCTTTTAAATGGTTTTAGCAGCGCAATATATTTTTTTTGCTCTCCTTGTCTTGCTCGCTGTTGTTTTGGCCCATGCTGGTTTGAATTGATTGTTTTATTATCTTGTTTTTGATTTGATTTATATGGATTTTGGACTTTATTTCTGTATTTCCCTTGTACATCACCCTGAGAGCTATGAGCTATGGGCAGCTAGTAAACTTTGCAAATAAGTAAATGAAACAATCTCTCCATGGCTGTTGACAAATTTAACATGTTTCAGAAGAAGACGATTCCAACAACCTTAGAATTCCTTGCCTGCAGAGGCTAGGCTGCCTGGTGCCTTCTTGACTGTATATCACCAGATGGGAATCGCTTCTCTGTAATGACAAGCATTAGTTTCTTGAGTTTTACAAAATGTTGCATTTGTATTCTTTATCTGGCTTTCTCATCTTTTGCAGTGTTATTGTATTTTATTGCTGCTTGCTGCCCTTAAAATAAGCAGAAATTCAGAATGCAGGATGCATATTCTGTATAAAACAAATAAACAAATTAGGGTAGGTAGGTAGGTAGGTAGGTAGGTAGGTAGGTAGGTAGGTAGGTAGGTAGGTAGGTAGGTAGGTAGGTAGGTAGGTAGGTAGGTAGGTAGGTAGGTAGGTAGGTAGGTAGGTAGGTAGGTAAGATAGATAGATAGATAGATAGATAGATAGATAGATAGATAGATAGATAGAAAGAAGACTCTATTAAGCAATCTTTTTTCTTTCATCTCTCTTCTGTCTGCATATTTCAAGAATCCAACTTCTAAGATCAATCTGGACCATGCTACAGAATACAGATATCAAATGTTCCCTCCATTTAGGGGGCAGCCCATCTAGAAATTAAATAACGGCTGTATGTACAGATCTTCCAAAACAAGGTACTGTTACAAGGAGCCTTGTGACCCAGTGGTTAAACTGTACTGTTGCAGCCAAAACTCTGCTCATAGTCAGTTGCAGCCGAAACTCTGCTCATGGTCAGTATATGATACCAGCAGATCTGACAGCCAGCTCGAGGTTGACTCAGCCTTCCATCCTTCCAAGATCAGTAAAACAAGTAGCCAGCTCACTAGGGGGCCATGTGTAGCCTGCATAATTAACTTGTAAACCACCTAGAGAGTACTTAAAGTGCTATGGGACAGTATATAAGCAGCACACTTTTTACACGGGAATCAGAGGCAACTCCTTCTTTAGATTAGAATCAATGGGCTTGCATAGGCCCAGTGCTGAAATTGATGTTGGATCAATGAAAACAGGTGCTTTAATGTCAAGTACTAACACTAAAGTCTGGCTTGACCTTAGATTCAAGCAGCCCGTCTCCAAAATCCTGTCGCATTTCTGTTGCGAGCCCAGATCTATTGCCATAGTTCTGCTTTACTTGTCATCTTTCGACTCTCTTTCCTTCCTTTTTTTGCAGGAACGGCCTCTCCTTCAAGTCATGAAGAGAGAGACTGCAAGAGTCACTGCCTGGTTAACTGCTCAGAGGGACACTATTACCGATCTGGTAACTGCCTAGAGTGCCCTGTTGGATTCTAGTAAGAGACACATTCTCCTATTGATATTCCGCACAACAGGAGTTTAAGACAATAAGAGATCCAAAGAGCTGGTGTGTGCATTCTTTCTGCACAGAAGCAGCTTCTGCACAGAAGGGAGAAATGCATTCCACAGAACGACAATCAATTTAATTTCAGTATACTTTCATTATATGCTACACTGTCATCAATGTAGATGGCAATTTACTAAGCACTGCAAGGAAAAAGGGGGAGGGGATCTCTGACCCTGTGGGGTTTGCAAAATACATGTCAATATTGTCAAAGACAAAGAAAGGAGGGAAGGGAGGATAAGAGAGAAAGACAATAGGGATGATTTTTAAGAATTGGCTGAACAGCTGGCTTGGTATGGGGAAAATGCTGAGGAATGGAACCTTAAGATTTTCTTGAGTCATGAAATTACTGTAGAGGTGTTGCAGAATTTTGTCTGATCTGTATTTCTAAGCAAAGCAACCTAATTTCTTCTTCTTAACATACAGATCAAAATAGACTTGCTTGTCATATTTTGCCCTTTCCTAAATGCTGCCAAACGGTTCTTAGTTCAGTGATTACAAACACAACCATGTAGAGCAGGGAGAATGGCAGATAAAATGCTTGTATTAGGGAAAGAGGCATAAAAATGTGTATGTTAGGGAAATGTGTGTACAACTGAATGCAAATTTTTGTGCAGTTGGAAAGAACAAAGCAGAAATTTGATGGAGCAAACTTAAGATAGAACATATGTGAAATGGACATTGACCAAAATTACAGTAGAATGAACTTTCATTCCAGTTGTCATTTATATAGAATGTTTATATCACAAACATTCTTGATTATCATTTCCCTAGGTCTGCTGAGCATAATCACTGCTTGTTTTTATGTAGCTGTGGCAGCTGCTTTTTCATGTGATGTAATGCGTGCACAAGCCATCTGCTGCTGTTGTGGTTTTCAATATTTAACCTCAATGTCTTACAAGACCAAATGCCATTTTTCTGTCTGTTGCACAAGGTAATTCATGAGGATAGTTGGTTTTTCTTTAAAGCCCTAATATATCTGTCTTCAAGGGGCCTTCTAAAGCTTATGATCAGGATCCTGTAGGAAAAGTGTGCATGTAATGTAATTGTACACATGGTTTGCACTGTCTGGCAGAGAGTCTGTCAACTGGTTGTGAAATCAGTCAAGGGACGGACACTCCACTGAAGGGTGGAAATTGCTCTCACAATTTCCATTGCACGCACAGGCTTGTGTGTTTTTCAACACCATTCATTGAATCGTAGAATAATTGAGCATAGTAAATTGCAACAAGAGCAGGTCCATTGAATCAGTGAAGATTCAATGAGTCAGCTCCTGATTCAATGGACCTGCTCTCCTTGCAGCTCACTAAGCTAAGCAAGATGATTTCAGCCACTGATTATGTTTCTGGGATGTCTTGGTTTTTTTTTTAACTGAAGGTGGCTTTTAATTTCAGGATTTCTATTGTTGGCAGCATCTCCTGATAATTTTGATTCTGACATGCAGCCAAATGCGATGTGTCAGAAACTGTCAAATATGCTAGACATTATTGCATGTTGCACATGATGGAAAGGTTGAAAAACTTACTCTTTTATCCAGTAACGCCCAGACCTTGGCAGCCACCATGCTGGCCAGGCGCTTTCAGGAGCTCTGATCTAAAAATCAAACTTTTCTAAGATCTGTAAGATACCAAATATTCTTAATCCTCAGTACGATGTGCTAAGAAGTGTTTCCTGTTGCCTGTAAAATTACCCAAAGTTCGACACAATTCCATATCCAGTGCCACGCTCTAAATAGCAAATGTTCAGCGAATATTTGAGATTTGTAGGCGAGTGTAGAGGAACAAAATTATCCAGCCCTAAACATATCCCAAACCATCACATGCTTCTTTAACTATACTTATAGGCTCCTGTTTTCCACATTCCCTACCAGCTAAACATTAAAATGCTTCTCCCAGCCATAAAAATCGAAGGTAGCTCTCTAAGAATTAAACATTTTCTCCTCCCACCAAGTGAATGAAAGGACAGCCCTTTGTGAAGAACCCACAATAAGGGAAGACTTGGTGGGGATGTCAGTGAGTGTTTGGATTAATTTTCTCCTCCTTGATCTTCCAAAAACAGGCAAAGATCTTTTGACTCAACAGAGTTTTGGAAACCGATTGGCTTTCTATTGGCAAAGCAAGGTTCTGTACTTCTCTTGTTTCCTTTGAGGTGGTTGCTCTAACTTGTTTTTAATTTGATAGTCCATTTACTCGCAATTTTATTTTATTGGATATGGTGCTCTTTGGATAGCATTTGTTGTTCAATCACTTTGTGAGTTGCTCTGGGTTCTGTAAAGCTGAGAAGAGTGGAATATACATCAAGCCAGCCAGAAAGGTAAGGCTTGAAAGAGGCTTATCTATGGGACATTGGGAAGGTGGCGGAGATCAGCAAGGCCAAAGTTGATGCAAATCTGTATTGCTTTCCTTTCCAGCTGCCCAGGTGGCCAGATGGCTCCACGGTGGTGTCCTGAAGGAACATATAATAATCTGACAGGTCAGGTGGAGGTCACATCTTGCCAGGTAAAAGAACAGTAGGTGGGGAGAAGAATGATGTTGGAGGAGACCCATAGGGGATGGCCAGGGGATGCTTCAGTGGGAATCTTCTTCATTAGGAGGCAATCACATTGCCTTGGTTTTTATGGATTGCAAGGTGAGGCCATCATCTAATGCCATTACTTAAATATAATAGCCACCAGACACAGTGGGATCTCCCAGAAAAAAATGCATAGGGTGTGAGGGGGCCCTCCTGTGGCCCTTTTCCATGACAGAATTCCCAGAGCAGTGATACGCTTCCAGCCTCTTGGGTGACTCCACACAGGCAATCTCGACCCTTAAGATAATGATAGTAATCATGGCCAAACTGCAGACCTGGAAAGGACCCTATGGGTTCAGAGGAGGCCTTTCTTTCAGTATCAAGGGGGGGGTCTTCCCTGTGGCTGCTCCTAAATATGGAACGTGTCCTCTCTCTCAGGACGTTAGGTTAGCCCCCTCCCTTTTATCCTTCACCAACAGTTGAAGACTCTTCAGTCATAAATATGGAACATGTCCTCTCTCTCAGGAGGTGAGGTTAGCCCCCTCCCTTATTCTTCACCAACAGTTGAAGACTCTTCAGTCAAGCTTTGAATAACTGTAACTGAGCCCCTAATGCTGGGTTTTCCCTTCTTTCCTTCGCTTTTCTAAGTTTTATTATTTTTCATTACTTAATGAGTTTTTAATTCTTGCTATAACTTCCTTTGTTTTTAGTACTACTTGTTTTAAAATTGCGAGCTGCCTCCGGTCTCTTCACTGGGAGAAAGGCGGCCTAAAAATGATACAAAATAAATAAATAAATAAAATCCTTTTGCTGGAGCTGTTAAATCTTCCAGCTCAAATGTAAACCTTACCAGGGTAGCTATTCACTCCCCCCGCCCCCAATGTCTGATTGCTATTCTGACTCTTTTCCCCTGCCTGCTGAATTATCATGTTTTCTCAGTCCCAACGAAGCTTGCCATCTGCTCACCTTCAAGTCTTCTCTCTAGATCACTGGTTCCCAGCCTTGGTAACCCAAATGTTCTTAGACTTCAACTCCTAAAAACCTTCATCACTAGCTATGCCCTGTGAACTGTGGTCCAAGCACACCTGGGGATCCAAGGTTTGGAACCACTTCTCTACAGCTATGGGTCCCCACCTTGGGTAACCCATCTGTTCCTGTCTCTACGGCTATGGTTCCCCACCTTGGGTAACCCATCTGTTCCTGGACTAGAACTCCCAGAAGCCTTCACTGCTAGCTGGGCTGACCAGAATTTCTGGGAGTTGTTGTCCAAGAACATTTTGCGACCCCAGGCTGGGAAATGCTGCACTAGGCTATGTATAGGCAATCACCATCCTGATATCTTGTTTGATTGAAACGAGCACTAAAAGGATGGTGGGACTCTTCCATCAGCAGCCACTCCTGTGTCTACTGCCTATCAAGTGTGTGAGTCAGAGCTGAAGAGTCCGTCAAGAGATCTGTTCATTATAGCCAAGGAGAAGGCAACTGGTGGAAGTAGAAATGGCACTGCTTAATTTCTTACCAATGCAAATGTTTGGTCATGAAGTTTATCACCCACTCATAAACCAGTTAAAAATATTCATTAGTTGGGATTAAGGAGATCTTTGTTCCAGGAACTCATGGAGACTTCTTCCTATTGCTGGTAAATTTGAAACATACCATGAAATGAATCTATCCCAAGCCCACATTGTTTGGTCTATGTTACTCTTCATGGCACTATCCTAGGGAAAGAACTCTCATGGATCTCAGTCTCCTTGACAGGTCTGCCCAGATGGATACCTCAGCTTGGAAACCAGGGCTGGCTGTCGGATGTGTCCAGATGGCTACTGGTGTGATCCACAGAGTGGTCTGCAGAAACGCTGCCACCCTGGTCAGTATTCACCTGAAGGGGAGACAGAGTGCTGGCGATGCCCCAAAGGCTACATCTGCCCTGATGGACAAGAGAAACAGGTACAATACATCTCAAACTAGCCAGTCATGATTCTGAACCATTGTTTTTTAAACACGTCTCAACCTTTGCGGAGAGATATCTGCAAGTCTTCCATGTTTCCTTACACTATAAACCTTAACATGTCCACTTGAGAGTAAATCCCATTGATTTCAATGAAGCCGTGTTGTGTTTTCTCGACAGCATTGCCGAAGTGGCCAGGAGCCCAATCCCACTCACACACTTTGTGTATCCTGTCTTCCTGGATTTTACTCTGTGGAAGGGACTCCAGAATGCCAGCCCTGTCCAACAGGTATGCCATTGATTTATGAGCATGTTCAGCTGATAGGGGTGCAACACGGGGGGAGGGGGGTATTCCTTTATGCTCCTAATATTAAAAAAATTCTCCTCTTCCTTTCCAAACATTTGAAAAAGCTTTAATTAAAATAGGGAAATGAAGCAATATGGCAAAATACTCATTCTCCTTGGGAACGTCTATTGAGACTAGATGGGACATGACTAAATGTGGGAATTTATAATCATTATCATCATCATCTTAGAAGTGCAGAACTGGAAGGGACCCTATGTATCATCAGGTCCAGCCTCTGTCAAGGGGACACAGTGGGGAATTGAACTCCCAACCTTTAGCTCCACTGTCAGATGCCTAAAAACCAGTGAGGTATCCAACTCCAATTTCTAATTATTTCAGTTATTGACACCCAGGCCCCTTTCCTCACCTTTTGTTGCAGCTGTCATTCTGTGATGTAAAGCAACTTCCCTTTTTTTGTTGTTGTTCAGTTTAGTAAGTGGCATAGCGCTGCAGCGATGCATCAACCTCACATGGATAGTTTAATCTAAACTAGAAAGTTTCAGTTGGAGGCCCCCTGGAAAACTTTAAAACTTAACAGCAACAAAAGGCATACTGAGTAAAGGCCAACATTTAATCAGCCAGTGCAGGCTTATCAAATTGCCTGAACTGGAGAGAAGAAATTTTACTCATACAAACTAGGCCCTGGAGGCATCTGAGAGAAAACTCTGCAATCATCTGTTACATATAGTTTAATTTGGATATAATGCCCTTCCAGTTCTGTTATTCTATGATTCTACGGCACTCTTTTACATTATCCAGCAAATAAACTGCAGCCAGATTATTGACTGGGGCCAGCTACAGGGAGCATGTAGCACACCTGTTACAAGAACTGCACTGGCTACCAGTCCGTTTCTAGGCCCAGTTCAAAGTGCTGTTCACTACCTATAAAGCCCTCTACAGCTTGTGTCCAGGCTACCTGAAGGACCGTATTTGCATATATGCACCTTCTCAGTGATTAAGATCAGCAGAGGAGGCCCTCCTCTCGGTCCCATTGCCAGCACAAGCACAGCTGATGGGGACCCGGGAGAGGGCCTTCTCAGTGGCAGCTCCCAGCCTATGGAATGCTCTACCTCGGAAGATCAAGATGGCCCCTTCTCTGTTATCATTTTGAAAAAAGCTAAAGACCCATCTGTCCAGGCAAGCTTTTAACAATTACAACTGAATCCCTGAACCCCATATCAGCAGATAATTGTAATCTTTTTTATGTTCTCATGTTTTAATCTTCTAATTGTATTTTAAATCATATCTTGTTTAATTTATTTTTTAATATTTAACTTATTGTGTTTTTAAATTGAGTGAATTTTAATATTGCGAGCCGCTTTGGGTCCTTTGTTGGGAGAAATGCGGCATATAAATAAAACTAATAGTAATAGTAATAATAACAAGCAAACAAGCTGACAAGAATATGGAAGACAGGGTTCTACCTGTATAGGCCACCCTGGACTGAATGACTTTGAAGTTCTTTGACAGTTCTACATTTCTGTAACTGAAAACAATTTGGCAGGATCAACTTTTAAGTCTTTGGAAAAACTGGAAGTAAAGCCTGAGAGATTAGATGTGCTCCACCAATAAATAAGTGAATTCTTAGTTGTCCTCCCTAAGCGATTTAAAGAGCTGTTTTCTCTTAACTACCTGGTGCCTCCCCCTTCTTGATATTCTGGAGAAGTCTTGATAATCCTATCCTCAGGATATCAGCAGTCTATCATTGTAGGAATGATAGGGGCGTTAAGAATTTATCACCATGACATTAGTGCTGAACCAAGTATGACAGTAGGACGGGCAGAAGGGGACTCAGACCTTTGTTTCAAAAAGAAACAATTGCCTTTGAGAATTAGGGAACCATAGAATGCTATTAGAGATGATTAATTGGCTGGGAGAACTGAGAAAATTGCAGCGAATGATATCCAGCCAAAAGCACAGGGCTCTTCCTGCCGCATGACGTCTTCTACCATAAAATTGGGTTGGAAAGAAATCAAATATCTGAAATAATGCATGCTGCGGGAAGGATATGTATGGAAATCACTGTGAAGTGGGTGATATGGTCATGTGACTTTCCCTTAAAGTGTTGTTGTTTTTTTAAAAAAAAACTATAATCTGAAATTCATCTTTAAGTTGCATTATTAAGTGAAAATAGATCTCTTTGGTTTTGGACTACAACTCCCAGAATTCACCAGCAGGGTCAAAGTCCTAGGACTTTCTGAGTAGCAGAGACTCTGACATCATGGACCACCTTATCCAGGCCTTCCTGTTCCCTCTGAATGTCTTTGAATTCTCTAGGGTAGTAGCTGAAAAAGCAATGGGTTTTCCATGAAACCGTGCAATGTTCTATGTTATCCCTACTGTCTGTGTCTGTTCTACGCTGTCAAGTTGGAACCAACCAGGTGAGGTGTTTAAGGAGTAGTTTTACCAATTCCATTTCCCCAGAGACTTTCCATAGTTGAGCGGTGATTCGAACCCTGTTCTCCAGAGTCCTAGTTCGTCACTCTATCCACTACATCACACTGTGAATTTCATACTGTAAACCAAGGTATTTGAGAATCCTTTGTTCTTCAATGGACAGTTAGGAGCTGTTGGCCAGAATTCTATTAGTTACACCCAGGCTAAATCCCAACAGCGAATTGTCACAGGTTAAGAAGTCAATGTAAGCATTTACGGTCACACACCAGTTGCATGATTTGGCATGCAAATGCCTACACTGACTTCCTAATGTGTCGCAGCTGAAACTTATACTACTGGCTTTTGGCTGGCACAGTTTTTCAACTGGATTCTGACCACTAACCTTACATAAGTCCTACTTCTAATTTGTTGGTAATCTACCTAATTCAGCTGCCTTTATTTTTGAATTCTCCTTCTGATGATGGGACCAGCTATGAGAGCAGGTGTAATAAGCACCTGCAGCTCCACCTTTATCACTATTCCACCATCCCCCAAGCAGCATGACTGGAAACCCCCTCAGGCTTTCTTCTCCATAGCTTGGACAGGGGACACTCCTTTGAAATAAAAAGTGCCCTCTTGTTCCAGTGGTTCCAGAGGGGGGGAAATTGAGGAAGCTGCTATCCTGAGATCTCACTGACCTGTTTGGTTCTGAGTTGGGAGATGAGAAAGACTATGCACAGAAAAGATTTCTGTAATTCTTTGCTAATCTCATCAAACAAAGTTTGTCTAGCTCTAAGAGAGAAGAGTGAATAGAAGGTTTTGGTACTCTTTGGATTTTACCGAGAGAATTCTGGGAGTTTTCCTTTCAAAACACAAAGCTGCACAGCTCTATCACAAAGCATCTACCACACACACCCCTGGTCTTTTAGATCAGTCATTGCTTCCAATTATCATGACTTTTTCAGTTTATGAACCCTCAGCAAGAAAGGCCATGATGCAGTCTTGAGCAAGGTCAGGGAGGACTAGCTCTATGCACAGATGTGTCTATTAGGTCTGGTGTCAGCTATTATCAGATAATGCAAGCCCTGATCAGCAAAATCTGCTCCGTGCTGTGGAGCAAGATGTGGCTTATTGCAAGAGGTCTGCATTTTCGGACATGCTTTTCAATATTATTATCTTTCAGTCTCCGTCACTCCTCAAAGAGGCAGAAGGGGTCACCTAGTCTTTAAAAGAGTTAGGGCTCAGTCTTTTTCTATAGTTGTGGAGCATATAAGACGTCGCTTTAAGAGCTAATATTGGCTTGACTGGGAAAATTAGATCAGGACAAAGGAGACGTTAAGAGTTTGAAGTTGCAGGAGATGATCAGGAAGACATTGGGGCCCAGGATCAAAGCATGTAAAAAGAGTGAACTTCCTTGCCCTGCCTATCCACAGCACTGTTTGGTGCTTAAAGTGATATGATGCCATGAAATTCATCTTTAAGCTGTATTTTTCATCCATTTCCTGCTGTACTATATAAGAGCACTTACAAACATGTGCTAACCGTGGGCAAATGTTTGCAGATGGCAGGAGATTCAGCTCACCCATGCACAGCAAAGGTTTGTCATGGAAGGTGTGCATCAGGAGGAGAAACACTGGCCGTCCAAATGTTTTGGTGTCTGCCTTTCAGCAGACCAAACAAGCATGGGAGTGAGGAAGTATGGGAGATGTAGTCTAGTAGAATCATAGAATCATTGAGTTGGAAGGGGCCTCCAAGACCATTGAGTCCAACCCCCTGCTCAATGCAGGAATCCAAGTCAAAGCAGATATGACATTTGAAAGATCTGAGATTCTGTACTCCCTCCACCCTTTTATGTTCTGTATGATTTTCAAACAAATTAGGAGTCTTTAGCAATATAAAGATTTTTCAGGGCAATTCAGTTTTTGCCTCTTGGTGATGTGGATTGGACAAAGACTTCCTAGTGCCTTCCAATTCTTATTCCTTCTTAAATGAGATTATCTCCAGGCTGAAGTAATGTGACTGCATGTATTGAAGCAAGGAAGCACCGCAGGTTAAAGAAAAGACTCAGCAGTATGGCTCATATTCTGGATTCAGAATTTATTTATTTATTTATCTATTCAATTTATATCCCGCCCATCTGGTATATTCTACAAGATAACCACAGAGAGAGACAGAGAGCGGAGATCTTATCATTCTTACAGGAGGAAAGAGGACCCTGTTTTCTGTATTTGTCACTTCCAGGTGTTTTCCTCCTTTTCAATCTGCTTCCACAATCAAACAAAATTTCAAAATGCATGGACACTTGCAATTAAAATGCAATTTAAATAATTTTTACAAAAAAAATATAAAATAGAAATACACATTTTTCCAAAATTATTATCTGTCAAAATAAATATTCCTAGGTTGCTATTATGTGTTGTCAAGTCACACCTGGCTTATAAAAACCTAATCATAATTTCAGGTATGTGAGATATTTAAGGAGTGGCTTTACCAGTGAGTCTCCATGCCTGAGCAGAGATTCAAACCCAGATCTCCTGAGTCCTAGTTCATCACTCTATCCACCGTGCCACCCTGGATCTCATTTATAAACACATTATAACTTGAAATGTGAATTTCTAAACATGCATTCTTTTTAAATGCACACTTCACTGTATATTGAACAAAGATTTATGCTACTATTGTGCCAGGGAAAAATCAGATCAGATCAGTCTGAATTCCTAAAGCAGCTGTTGTCATAATATACCATCATACCAAAGGAAAGGATTGTAGCTGTATAACAGACCATGTGTTTGGCATGCAAAAAAAATTAAGTTCCTTTCCTGGCAATTCCAGGTACTGATATGGGAAAGTCTGATCTGAAACTCTGCCAGTCATTGAACGCAGTATTGAACTAGATCACTGGTTCCCAACCTTGGGTCCCCAAATGTTCTTGGATTAAAACTCCCAGGAGCCTTCACCACTAGGTGTGCTGGCCAGGATTTCTAGGAGTTGTAGTCCAAGAACATCTGGGGACACAAGGTTGGAGACCACTGAATTAGATGGGTCAATAGGTTGGTTCAATATAAGGCAGCTTTCCTTGAGTTCAGCACTGAGCTTCAGCACTGGACAGCTCCTTCAAGGATGCTACTGAAAATTCAGTACAGCTCAGCCCAAGTCTTTATTGATCTTCTGAGGCCAAAGTTCCCAGTAAGTGGCTAGCTCCCTTCTTCTTTGAGACCTGTTGTTCTACTGGAAAACAAAGTATTTAATGAGCACACTCCAGCTACCTCCCACTGTGCCACTGCATTCAGTCACTTGATCCGGGTGCCTGTAATAAGGATCCTCTTAATTAAATAATGAAGTGTTCCTGTATTCTGGCTGCCTTGATGTCAGCTGATAAAAGGTGAAATGGAATGACTGATGCTGGATGAAAAGCCTCATGGTTCATTCACATCCAGCCATGGTCTGTAATTCACTGTTATGGAAATTAGATAACATTGGATTTTAGGTTTCTCAGATTTCAGCCTCTGGTATTAGATGTCAATGAACAGAAAGCAGCCTTTTCATGCAAGCACTGGAGAGAATGGCATAGCATGAGGAGATCATATTCGGAAGAATTGACTAAGACATGGCCCCCGTTTGAGTTAAACCAATCATCCATCAGGCTCAGAAGTACATTTTCAACTTTTTGGAGTTTTCCCAATCCCTCAGGCAGGATCTCTCTCTCTTTCTTTCTCTCTCGCTCAGCCCTGCCATCTATTATGCTTTAACTCAAAGGTGAGGAACCTTAAACGTGTAAGTTACATGCAGCCCATGGCTGAATTTAAAATTTTACGCAGAGGTGCCTGGGGTTTAGAGGTGTGAAGAAATCTTACCCATGTCTTATTTATGGCCTGTCAAAAACTCCCCCAACCCCCACAAGAGTTCTCATCTGACATGTAGGAGAAAGACATCAAATACCTTTTCTCTGTGTGTGCTAGATTTCTCTAGCACACAGGAAATGGAAAAGGGCAGGCAGGCTGGTTGTTCACAAAGAGGAAAACTGTTGGTTTGTTGCTTTCTTCTTTTCAAGAGTCTATGCAACAATGAGGCAGCAGTGTTTGGGGTGTGTGTGTGAGTGTTTTAAAGTTTAGCACAAATCTGGAAAAAAGTCTCACATACAGGCAGCTTCTCTCAGAGACCAAACATGCAGAGAAAAATAAGCCTTCCCCCTCTGACTGCAAGAACGAGACTACTCTAGAACATTGTTCCCCCCCAGTTTTGATTATCCTAATCCAAAGCTTCAGCATTTCACCTGAGATTACTTATATTATTTTAAGAGCCCCAATGAAGGCAACCGTTGTAGAGTTGCAGTTTTCTCAATCACATTGAGCTGAATAATGTCCTGCTTAGGAAAAAAAAATCAAGAATACTGTCCAGTGGCCAAAAGGGGACATGGCTCATTCACAGAACAGTTGCTTTTTTGTGGTGTTACAACTCCCACTTTTCATGGACTTCAACCCATCCATACTTTTACTTCCCTGCTAGTTGCCTTCTCTAGCACCAAGTCTATAGGAGTTATTTGGACTTTGGCTACAGGATAGCTTTGCATTCGGCGTTGTTGGTTCCTGCACTTGACAGCTTTGCATGTAGAGAGATGGGATCCTACCCCATTTTCTGATGAAAGCTGTACCGCTGGTGAGCTACCAGGGCTACCAGTTCGCTAGGCAGTTAAGGAGTCCAAGATATTAGAATGGTTCTGCTCATCCAAACAAGCCATGAAATCTGAAGGCTTCCTGTTCAGAGTTGGACTTTGAGCAGTGATTGTCTTTCTCTCTGGTTCTGGCTTGTTCTGTGTCCCCAAACCAACCTCTTTAGCTTTGACACCCCAAGCACATTATCTAGTTTCCAATTCCCCTGGCTGCCATGAAGTGGTTGCCCGAGGCTCAGTCTTGACATGTTGGAAGGCAAATTTGCCCAGATGTGAAACTGAATTCCAACTTAATTTGAATTTGGTTTGAATCTTGCAACACGTGTAGATTTAGCTGAAGGAGGCTAGAGGGATCAGTGCTTGCCCTGAGTAAATTTGATTCCAAGGCTTTCTCTTCTACTACTTAAGAGGTGTTGCAAAAGAAAGGATGATGAGCACAGGCAGGGTGGAAGGAAGGGTGCTGACATCTAATATCATCCTTCTCTCTGTGCTGCTGCATGCATATGTTTTATTGTTGATCATGATAACGTGATGGTTGTTGTTTGTCTTAGTTTCATCTCGCATCTCATGGAAGTCAATTCTTAAAGAAAAAATTAAAATATGAATTATCGGAGACTTACAAGGAATGGAATAATGCACTTAAGCAAACCAGCTGACCATCCTCTCTAAGGTCTAAGCTGTTCCTATGAATAATGCATCTTATCTTTTGTTGACTTCATTGTCTAGTTTAATATAAGGTAGGCACTACAATAATACTTGACTTGCAATGCTCCATCATTCCACATCCTCTCTCTCTGTTTTTGTTCTTATTTTTAGGCCATTATTGCCCTCACGTTGGCACTGTTCAACCACTTCCATGTCCACCTGGCTTCTGGACCTATGCTGCCCAGCAGACTGAATGTCAAAAGTGTAATGGAAGTTCTTGCTGTCCAAATGGCATAGGTGAGGGGCCTCACATCCAGGTATCGGCTCGTTCTGCTGGAGGTCTGCAAAACCATTCATGCCCCGCAGGTGAACCTGGTTTGCTTGCTTGCATTTCACTAATTCATTCACCCGCACAGCGCTTGGAAGGACCAGTGAGCATTTCACACCATGAAAAGTGCAAAACTCGTATCAGCAGAGCTAGAAAGTTGACATGAATGAAGTGGGAGCTGGGTGGGCTGACAATCTCGTCCTATAAAATGGATTTCCCACATTGGCAGAAATCTAGAGTGCATGACCTTTGAGGCTGCTTTCAACTCTGTGATAATGTGACTTGTCTTTTCAAGTTGCAGATGTGAGAACCAACATTTCCTTTCTTCCTTGCAAAGGGCTCATATGCAAGTACAAACACTAGCATAGCTGGGCATGTGAGCTGGGCTAGATCATTTCTTAATGCATTCCTTTATACTTTCAGTGGGTTGGGATTTTTGAGAAGGGTGGAGAAAGCTCTGAAAACTGCCCATGAAATGGTAAATTTAGTAGGACTGCTGTATCCATGAGATCACTACCTACGATTTCACTTATTTGCTGCCTGAAAAATTAAAAATTAAAGCCCAGAAATACACATTCCCAACGTGTATTACCAGGACTGACCACCAGATAGAACCAGAGGCTATGCCATATGCAGGTGGCTTAAAGGAAATGCACTTGTGCCTGACATTTCTGGGGGAGCTGCTTCCTATGAAATGCAGAAGCCAAATTTTCAGGTGGTTGCTAGGCCTCCCTTGCAAACAGGAAGGAAGGAAACCCAGTCATTTGGCAAGACTGAGTCAGGGTTTCCTCTCTCAACCATGCCTGGACACCAAAGAAACTAGGAGTAAGTGCTTCCCTTATCCTCTAGTTCCAGTATCCATGGTGGGGAGAACTTGAAACTGGTCTCACACAGATACCATGATCCTCCAACTGTGGATTCTAACACTGATCCTACTGCATGTGTGAACCAAAATCAGATGCAGATCTTTAAGGAAGAATGATCAGGAATCATGTGCATTCTAAGAGGGAGAGTAGCTGACAATGAATAGGGGGAATTTGTAGTAAATTAGGTGGAGGAAAGATCATAACTTTCAAGAATGCAGAGCACTTCTTTCCATGTGAACAGTTTCCATGCACAACCATGAAAGCACAGAACCTTTAAACGCTATTCACCGCTAGAAGACAGGGTTTGGAGTACGCATCGTGGCCTGATGCAGGGTTTAAGGTTCCTCCCTGCTCCTTTTTGGGGGGACCTTTCAGAGTCTAGTGAATTGTTGTGCCTCATTGGTGAGACTGTCTTTCTACTTACATTTTTCCTGTAGCTCAGTCCCTTATTCTCACATACCTCACTGTGCCTGCTGACATTCTGTTCACGTGTACAATTTTATGTCAGTGATTAGGCCCCAATATAGTGCCTAACAGCCTAGGGCAGTGGTCCTCAACCTTGGGCCTCCAGATGTTATTGAACTACAACTCCCAGAAGCCTTCACCACCACTTCTGCTGGCCAGGATTTCTGGGAATAGAAGTCCAAGAACATCTGGAGGCCCAAGGTTGGGGGACCACTGGCCTAGGGGAAGGATGGTGAACCTTTGGCACTCTAGGTTTCTGGACTCCAATTCCCACAGTCCTTTATCATTGGCAAGACAAGCTAGGGATTCTGGGAGTTGTAGTCCAAAGCATCTGTTTTGCCAAAGGCTCACCGCCATGCCATAAACAGACATGAAGCTCTTTAGGGAGAGGCAAAAGACCTCTTGGTTAGAGCAACTGGAGAATTGCATGGATCGTCATATAATTATTTTCCCATAAAGGAACATATTGGTATGTCAGCAGTGGATGTAGTGCAAGCATCTAATTGGCTTTGGATTGCAGCATTATCTGTTGGCTTTTTAATCTGGAGCTGATGGGACTTGAAATCCGACCTCTGGAGAGCCAGATGTTCATCCTGGAGACATGAAGTACTTTATTTATTTGTTTGTTTGTTTGTTTGTTTGTTTGTTTGTTTGTTTGTTTGTTTGTTACTTATTGCAGCCTGCAGTGCCCTAACCAGGAAGTCTACTTGTAGGTTTCTTATGAGACCATGTTTTGTGGAGATGACCTTGGTTTAAATTCATTGTCAAAGAGATCTTGGCTGAAGTGGAATTAAAGACTCACTTTCAGATATATCGGTCCCTCTTACTTTGCAGGTCACTTCCATGCCGATGGGCTTACTATGGCACCGTGCCCAGTTGGAAGCTATGAGCCCAGAGAACGTTTCACAAGGTCCACCAATGCTTCCTTGTACTTCCCAGGTTTGTGACTTATATTATCTCTATTTTGCACAATGCAAAAAGCTGTTTCAGCTCTAAATCACACTACTAATTAGGTTGTTCTACACTGTCTGACAGTTATAGTGCTTATTTACTACCCTCTGGCATAAAACAAGGCACATTAGACACCAAGGAAATTTCCTAGAAACCCATACATGGAGGCTTTTGAGAATTATTAGTAACATTTTAGAAGATCTGAAGTTAGATTACTGTTTGCTTGGAAATTGCTGATATTCTAGGAAATGCGTAAATCCATGACAATTGCTGACAAAGGCAACGCACCCCAAATCTGGCTGAACAATTTTTTTTTTATTTTTTTTTTTGGATTGAGCAAAGGCAATGCACCCCAAATCTGGCTGAACATTTTTTTGTTTGGATTGTTGGATGGTAAACCACAGGTAATAGAATCCGAATCCAGGACAGAAGGACCCAGGTTAATGATTGTCAGGGGAAACATCATCATCTAGCAGATTGTGCTGTTAGCCTTCCTGTGTCCCATCGCTAAACGAAAGCAAGCTCACCATCTCATTCGGCTCTCTACACTTCATGATTTTCTGCATGGTGATGCCCACATATTCCTATGGGAAGTCCATCTCAAAGAAATTAGGCAGCTGATGGAGTCCTTTCTATTAACAGGCAGGTTTATTTTACTTACAAGTGATGTCCATTAGGACAGGAGATGGATGGCTTGAGCAGCGGCCTTTGTCGTGGCATTTGTCATAATGGATGATACCTGCATGTGAAATAAACCTGTTTTAATGGAAGTGACTACATGAGCTGCCTGCCAAGAGGGCACCTTCATGAATATGTATCCCATGTGTTCAACCTTGTTGGATATCAACCTAGGGAGCACAATGGTGCCTGTTAATTGGCACGTGTAACTATAACTTGTCATTATCATTATCCAGTTTCTAAAGGAGCGTGGGATGCAGGAAATTGCACTTCTCAATGTATTCAAAGCTAAACAGAATCCCTACACAGGAGGAAACTAATTTGATGCAGGGTCATGTTTTGCTAATAGGCACAGGCAAGGTAGAAAACTCCCTCTACTTCCTTAACACTCAGGAAGGCCTGAGATCAGGACTTCTATGAGAAAAAGTTCTTCATTCTTGGCAACGGATTCCAGAAGGCATTGGCCAAGGCAAGTGACCTCCATTGCAAAATGATCTTAACTCCAGATATCTTAAATCAACAACTCCATCAAACACACGGCTGAACAGACAAGAATCTTCTGTTTTGATGGCAACATGTGGCTGTCATCTGAGTTGATTGGTTCCTCCACTCCTTCCTCTCCACTCCCAGAAGACAAAGGAGTAGATCACTTGGGGAATCACAGGTTAGGTGCTAGAGTCTGGGGAAACAGACTGTATTCCACATCCCACCTTGTGTGCCTTGGAAGTGGCAAAAGCTAATTAAGTTGTAAGCTACCTGGTATAGAGGTTATTGCAGAGATGGGAGAAGCTACATTTTCTGACTCCCTCATTGCAGTTTTTGTATTTGAAGGTCCTCCCTGGAATTTCAGGTTCATCATCCATCCACATGTTAAAGTGCAGGATGGGAACAGAGACCATAGAGAGGTTTTGTTTTGTTTTTTTCCTATAAAACACCAGTTCCCAACCTTGGATGTTCTTGGACTACAATTCCCAGAAATCCTAGCCAGCCTAGCAAGTGGCCAATGCTTCTGGGAGTTTCAGTCCAAGAACATCTGGGGACCCAAGGTTGGGAACCACTGCTGTAGAGGATCATGGGGTCATCTGTCAGGACAAACATGGTGGTCATCCACAGGATGAATACCCAATAGATGGATGGCACCAGAGCCAAAATTGACAGGGACGTTTCCTTCCCTCTCCCTCCCTTCCTCTCCCACACACATATAGAGATTATAATGATATTAGGCTGTGAGCTCTATACAGCTACACTGCTTTGAGTTTTCAATTCCTGCTATATAATATAGTCCAGAATCCTGCTAGTCTTTATGTAAGGTTTGCATAAATTGATTTGGCTAACAGTGGCTGGTGACATGTCTTGGTTTTGTGCCAGGTTGCCCACCTCTTAGCACAACCGAAATTCACCCTGGCGCCTTGCCAATCAGCAGCAATTAATCACAACCACTTACACAAGCGACAACAGGATTTGAGCCATAGAAACTCAAGATGTACCATTTACAGGAAAAGCAAAGCAGTGTGGAGATTACTTTTGATAAATTTTCATTTATTCCAACTAAAATTTCAAAAAATGTCAGGCCCATCTGATCTGTTCTTCTTCTTTAATAAAACAAAAACAAGCAAACAAAACTCTGCTGCTATTTTTTCCCCTCATTTCCCTATTTTCTCTGCACTGCCTTACCTTCTGGATTATTTGTTGTTATCCGTACGGTGGAATATTTTAAAAAGTCGTGCTGTAATGAGTGGGGAAAACCTGTTCGGTGTGAATGAGTTTTGCAAATTAACAAGTAATTGGGCAAACTCAATTAAAAAAAATAATCCAATGGTGGCACATCGCAAACTGGGCTTGCTTCATTTATTTTGATAATTATCATTTGTCTTTAATTATTTCCTCCCCAGCACACTAGTGAGTGGAATGAAATATGGCTATTTTTCTAGTGGGACTAATAATCAATGCAGCAGAGGTACTTTCCCAACCTTCTGCCTGCTAACAAATTGCTGCTGAGATGATCAGCTTTGGATCTGAATGATCCACCTCATCATCTATATAACAGATATTATATAATCTGTGTAATAATCTTAGAACTGCTGAGCTGGGAAGAAATGATCCTCCTCATCATCTATATAACAGATTTTATATAATCTGTATAATAATCTTAGAACTGCTGAGCTGGGAGAGATCCTATGGATCATTTAGGCCCAGTGGGGAACTGAACTTCCAACCTCTGGCTCCACAGCCAGTTACTTAAGCCACTGAGCTAGCCAGCCATGATGGTTGTGAACAATATTGCAGTGAAAGTGGGGGGAAAAATCTCAAAGGTTCGAGGAGCCATTTACTGAACTTCTTGGTTACACTGAACAAACAGTAGAACCATCTGTTTCAGAACATGGACCCGGAGTTTCTTGGCCATCTCTCGTTCCAATTCATTTAGGGCTACACAGTGGAGGAAGCATGGGTAACAATGTATTCCTAGGTCTCAAAATGCTTTCAAATTCCAAATAGCCAGTTATAAATGTACATCCTGAATAAATAAAGCCAGTCCAGATTGGGAGTCAAGGCAGTGATACACTCGTTTCCTACCTTAACTTCCATTCTATGTAATTACAAAAGATGAGCTTTAGTCTTTGATCTCCTTGTCTGGACTGTGTCACTTCCTCATCTTGTTTCTGAGTCTCAGCATCAAAAGCCCTCAAGGAAAGAAACCAGGAACCTTTAGCAACATCATGTTGCTGCTTTTTGTGATGAACTATTGGAGCTGCAGTACTGCTTAGAATATCTTCTAGTGAAGTTCCCTCAGTTTCTGGACTGGCTGCATCTCTTGGGTCCTCTTGGAGAGGAAAATAAAATAGAATAGTCTTTTTTCATTCAGTGAACAACACTTGACCAGACTAGCAGTTGACTTCCATGTCAACACTAATAACAAAATGGCATTTTCCACTGCACTCAAGGACAGCAACCTAACTTTGCAGGCACACAGGAGGCGATATGGAACTCACAATTCTGGCCTCCAAATCTTTATGCTGCTGACACCACCACATTGGCCACCTGAGATGAAAAGTTCCCCAGAGAAATAAAACTCTAGTTTCACTTTCCAACCACCCCATTGCATCCCTTCCTACATCTGTCCACATGAAGAAAAGGGCAGGGCCACTTAATGGTTAAGAGGAAGAAGGCATTTCAGCAAGTGATGCTTGTCATGTAGTTCAAAGGTAAAGGACCTCTGTCCTGTTGTTCATGTGGACACAACCTACCAGCTTCATTGCCTGCTTGTCCAGCTTTTAGTCTAATGTTTCCATCTGCTGTGCTTCATTTTCTACCTATGATGCTTCTGATGTTATCAATGCTAAAGTTATGTGTGTTTAGAGTTGGGCACGAACCGAACTACAAATTGAAAAAAAAAAAACACATCATGCATAAGGCTGTTTCGTGGTTCAGTTCATGTAAGCTGTTTTACCAAAACAAAACGAACGGCCGAACTTTTTTTTCCCACTTGGTGCATTGTTTTGCTTCGGTAAAATGGACATTACCCATGCCCTTCCCACTACCCCCATTGCCTCTTTACCTGGTCCTGCCACCTCCTCCTCTTTCTACCCCACTGCTGCCATCTTAAGAGACACTGGCTTCCCTTCTGGGAGCGTGGCCTCCTGTCTCTTGCACAGGTGCATGCCTATCAGCTGGTAGGCTGGCCCATGCACAGAGACAAGCTGGCCTCGCTTCCAGAAGGGAATCGGGGCTGCTGCCTCTGAAGATGGTGGCCAAACCAAGTAGGGAGGAGACACGGATTTTGGGAAGGGGGCAGGTGGGTGGCATAGGGGGTGTAGGCATTAAGTCCTCCCCCTCCAGGACACACCAGGAAAAGGAACCATAAACCCGTTGGTTTTTCTAGGGTTCAGGGGTGGTTTGTGGCTCTTGGTGCATGGGTAGACACCAACCACCCAGGTTCATTATTTTTCAAATTGTTGTAAGCGTTACTTTGTCATTTTCTTTAGCCAGATGGAAATGCATTCAAAGAACGTCTGGCTGGTGGGATTAATTCCAGGCAGGTTTCATTTATTTTTCCACTCTTGTTATCTCAACGCCATTCCCTTTTTCACGCCCACCGTGAAGCAGCTCCATTGTTTGAGGCGCACGGCTCCGAAGCCTAGTCACACATTCAGAATGTTTGTCATTCATGCAGGTAACCCGGGTGTTTGTGCTCAGTCTATTGCCAGTCTGTGAAACCCATTCATCACTCTCCATTCAGAATACAAATGTGGGTTCGGCTTTTTTTTTTTTAAATAACAATATAGACCTAGTTCCCTGATGATCTTGGTCCTCTTGGTTTTAACTACATTAACAGACTACAGTAATTCTGCATCCACGTGGGTTCATAGACTGGTATCTTTACAGAGATTTTAATAGTTCTCTTTCACATTTGATCAGCTCTCAGCAAAATCCCTGTTCCTTTCTCTCATTCCTAGCTATTGTGTTTTATTTCAGCAAACTGGATGGATAGTATTAAAGGTTCAATTCTGCCACCTGCTGGTGTGGCAGTGGACATCCTTGATTCCAGTGTCCTTGTCACGTTTCAAGAGAACACACAATCCTGTGTTGGATTTTTATAGTTTGAAGTCTATAGAAATGATGCCATGTCTAGCTCAGTCTGCCTTTACTGTCTCTTCCCATGATCTGCTAACCGATTGTTTTAACAGCAGGTCCCAACCTTGAGAACTTCATTACAGGATTGTGCTCCAAATGCAAAAACAGGCAATACCTTTCTAGACCACTAAAAATATCATCACACAGTAAATAAGTTTTCATGGATTAAGCACCACTTCATCAAGATTGTAGCAGTGCGAAGACCTTAAAATCCAAAACTTAAAGTCCAAAAGTACAGAACAAGATGGTTTTTGCCAGGGAAGTTGCTCTTTGCCCCTAAATCTCATTGAAGCCCATTTGAAAAACCTCACTGAGACTTATATCTACCAGTCTGATTGGACATCATAACCAGGATTTAGTAAAGTTACTTTATCGGACTACATCCCACAGAAGCTCATAGCTAGCATAACCAATGGCCATATGGGCTGGGCAATCCTTTGAGATGTAATCTGAAAGGTAACTTTTCCACATCTACCAATGAAAGATCAGACCACAGGGAATTTGAAACTGATCTTCATGGAAGAACATATCCGTGCATCTGTAGGCAATTCAGCACACAACCTGGTCCTGCAGGTTTTGAATTGTAGATGGGGAAAATGAAAGAGAGAGAGAGGGAAAAAGACCCATTATCAACCCTGTTCCAAAGAGTCCCTTCCAGCTCTTTAATTCTGCAGTTCAAAGATTCAGAGCTAACCAGGTGCTTGCTGCTTTTGCGATGACTCCATTTGCCTCTGACAGTACATTCCGTAATCTCCATTCCATGTACATTTCTGTAATACTGCGCCCTGTTAGAAGAGCAATGTTGGAACAAATGGAATCCCTGTTCCTTCCACCACCCCTGCCAGTTTGCATCAAAGACTTTGTACGGGAAATCCATCCTGCGACGGTGATGCTGGCTTGCAATTCACTTTTTTCATATTCCACCCTGCTTTTCACATGCTGCCGCTCTGCAGACTCAAGGAATCTGGTACTGTAGTCTTGAGATCTTTGTTCAAGTTGCTGGGTAAGTGACAGGTTGGACTACAAATGATCCTGCTTTGTGGCAGACCGTTGCTCCATTTCAGCCAAAGGCGCTACAGAGTGACATTATCTCATTATCTTGGGTAACAGGAGTCTATCTTCATAGCTAGTACCTAATATTTTAGCTGGGGACTGAACTGAGTTGCATCTGTATAAATGCAAGTGCTTCTTTAACGAGCAACAGACCTATCTGTGAACTTTCTGTGGGTTGGAAGTGAGACCTTTCAGTACTTTCACGCCAAGACTTCTTAGAGTTTCTACATATGGTTGCAAACCTATGGCCTTATACTTACAGTATCTTCATTGTGAAGGTACCGGCTGCACTGCAAAGCATAATGGATTATCACAACGATGGAAGCTGCTATCAGGGCCATTATTACAGAGGCATGGATCTTGGACCATTTCTGGGGACATATAAGGTTGAACATCTCTCTAAGCAGGGCTACAAGGTTGGCTCTCAGGAAGCCAGGCTCTGTGCAAGGAAAGTTTGAAGTCTACAGAAATGATGCCGTGTAAGAAAATATGTCTAAGCAAATTTAGAACATCATGGAGCAGATGAAATTCCACAACCCATACTTTGGCAGAATTCACAACAGCATCGCTATATTTGAAATTATTGCAATCAATATAGTCTTTGTTGATTTTTCTCCCTTTTCTTTTCCTTCCCATCCAGGGGTCAAACAGTGCTTGAAGTGTCCTGCTGGGTATTTTTGCCCTAACGGATCAAGTTACCCTAATCCCTGCCCTGCTGGGACTTACAACCCTTTACAAGGGCAAAATGAATCTTCAGACTGCAGAGCTTGTCATGCAGGAAAAGCATGCACCCAAGCTGGCTTGGCTAAGCCGGATTCTGAGTGTATGCCAGGGTATGTACAGATCATCATGCCTCCTTTTTTTCTATTTTTCCTTGAAAATGCTATTTTTTTTCCTCAGGATGGTTGAAGCCACCAGGTCTGGGACAAGAGGGACCTAAAACAGGGGCATGCCTAAAATGGGAGTCAAGGAGCAGTCTTTAGAAGCATCTAACAAATTCTTTATTTATGAAAGTGGAGCTACTCTTTGCCTGTTGTATCCTAGTTGGTGGTCTAATGTGATCTATGAATCTATGCTGCTGAAGCTATGGTGCTATAGTGAATGGGAAGGGCTGTATTTGGGAGCTAGTTCCCTTCAGAGCCCCCACATCAGAGGTTCACTAATGCCAGGGAAGAAACTGACTGTGGACTGAAAGCCAGAGCAATTTACCCCACCTCTGATAAAGCCAGTTGCCTCTGTTGTCCTTTTATTGCCATTCACCCCATTGATGGTTCTTATGTGCCTACCATTAAGATTTGTTGGGTTAATGATCACAAGAGATAGAGTCTTCTTTGTGTTGGCTTCTAAACTTTGGAACTCCCTTCCCCTTGTATCTTGCCCTTTCTGTCGTGTCTGACTCTTCATGACCCCATGGACCAGAGCACGCCAGGCCCTCCTGTCTTCCACTGCCTCCGGGAGTTGGGTCAAATTCATGTTGGTAGCTTCGGTGACACTGTCCAACCATCTCGTCCTTTGTCGTTCCCTTCTCCTCTTGCCTTCACCCTTTCCCAACATCAGGGTCTTTTCCAAGGAGTCTTCTCTTCTCATGAGATGGCCAAAGTATTGGAGCCTCAGCTTCAGGATCTGTCCTTCCAGTGAGCACTCAGGGTTGATTTTCTTACTCAGATGTATAGAGAGTAGGAATTGTGTCACTCACCATCACTGATGTCATAAAGTGGAGACTATGACAACACCATTGTTGTACACAACAGTAGCAGGAAAAAAATGTCGTCTGAGGAGCAACTGAGTTTTGGTGGAGATGTGACCACCGGGAGAGGTCTGTCTCCTTGATGGTGGTTCTCCTGCATTTTGGAACTCCCTTTCAAGACAAGCTTAGGCTTGTAATGGGTGGATGCTGTACTTCTTTTAAAGGATGTTTTTATGTAACTTTCAAGTTGATTGAATTAAACCGATGTGTTTTTAAGCCTGAACTTTCTCTGGAAGCAAAAAATGATGAAACTTTGGGCACATCATGAGAAGGCGAGTGGCTGGCGAAGACACTCATGCTAGGAAATGGTGAAGGCTGCAGAAAAAGGGGAAGAGCAAATATCAGATGGATTGACTCAATAAAAGAAGCTATATCCTAGAGTTTACAAGAGCTAAGCAGGGCAATTAATGATAGGGCCCTTTGCAGGTCGCTCATTCATCCATAGGGTCACTCACTATACGCCAAACAGCCAGGTTTAGGCTGAATATCAGGAGAAACTTCCTAACTGTTAGAATAGTACAACAATGGAACCTATGACCTCAGGAGGCAGTGAGCAATCCAACACTGGAGGCATTCAAGAAAAAATTGGACAACTATCTGTCAGGTCTGCTTTGATTTGTATTCCTGCACTGAGCAAGAGGTTGGACTCAATGGTCTTAAGGGCCCCAACCAACTCCGTTATTCTATGATTCTTTGAAACAGCACCTCATTAACCAGTTGCAATTTACTGCTCTCACTTATACAATTTCACACATTAATTGCCAGCAGAATTTGGGTTTGTCACGCTTTTATTTGTGCACCTGCTGGTTAACCTTTTTACACTGGAGTGAGTTCCAGTTTTGGAAGGGTGGAAGGTAGATTAAAAATCAAATAAATTGTAAGTGATTTTCTTAAAGAATGGAAATTAAATGTTATAAGTTCCATATCGCTTTGCCACCAGGTATGTTTGCCCAGTCGGTTCCTCCAGTCCTCACGCCCCCAGCAATGCTTGTCCTGCAGGAACATTCAGCAACCATTCCGATCTCTTCGATAAATCCCAGTGTGAAATTTGTCCAGAGAGATTTGTCTGTACAAAAGGTACGATGTTCGTATTCAGTTATATATAAAATGTGCAGAAAAGAAGCACATATGAGGTGCTGCTCCAGAAGCAAAGCTAGATGGATACACCATAATGCACAGAATTTTCTACTAGTATCCTTCTCTTTCTGTGTCGATCTGCCTGCCTGCCATTTTCCTACAACAATGCCCTTGGAATAACTCACAATTTGGCACCTCGTATGGATGGTGCAAAAGGGAGGCAGGAAGTCGCTGCTGAGTTGGCAATGAAAGCCAAAACTGGGTGACTTGAGGGAAGGAGGAAACAGAGAACCTGTACTACTGCTCTTCTGAGTGAGGATCCTCATTCTGGAGAAATCACTGGGAGATTGTCTTCGACGTGTGGAAGGATTTTGCAAAATGGTCCTCTCAGTTTCTCTATCCACGCATCGGGAGGACAATCTGAAGAGGCCATATGCTGAAAACTCTACCAAAACACCGTTCTGGGCTGAGCTGTCAGTGGTGATAGTTCATCACTATATTTTCAGGCACAGGAGGGAAGCAGAAGCCCCCCACCCCATGTCCACCGGGTCACTACTGCCCACCAGGAACCAAGCACGCAATGCAGTACAAGTGTGGCGCCGGCACCTGGAGCAACCGGACAGGTCTAGTGACAGCGCAAGACTGTGCCTTGTGTCCATCAGGGTGGTTCTGTATGGCAGGTGCTCAGGCCCCTTCGGGAAGCTGCAGCGCAGGCCATTACTGCCCAGAAGGTAAGGAGCAGCCAACCAGAGAAGGGGTTCATTTCCCACACTTATATGCATTGATGGGTTTCTTCCAGTTCGTTCTTGTGGGCCTGTGAGTCCTGATGAGGGAGGAAGTTGTGAGATCAAGGCATCAAGGATGGCAGATGTCCTTGTAGGCCAAGATCACAACCTGTGAGGCATAAGCTTGTGGCTTTTCTCGGTTCCAGCATTCCACATGGGCATCAAAATGGAGAGTGGAGATATTTGATGCAAATCACGATTCTAAACATCTTCCAGGACTCTAGCCTGCTGCTTCATAAGGGCATGTCAGCTGTCTTGTATACCCATAAGGACTTCATCAGCTGTCTCACTGTCAGACCAACGTTATGTGTCTTGGCTTGTAAAAACAACCACAGCTGGGCAATGAGTAAGGAGGCAATATGGTGTGGTCCATGGACGGAAAGCCTCCAGTTCAGAAGCACTCCAAATAGAGGGCAGCGCCTCCTCATGAACCAGTTTGTAGCAGTGTAGACTTGTGACTCCAGTTTTTTCAGAGAGGGGTTGTTGTCCAAGGTTCTGGTTGTTGTCCAAGGTCCTGATCCTGTTTGGGGAGCATGGCTGAGACCTTCAACTATCTCCTGTAAAGTCTGGGCTAGAACTTGGAACAAATCCATTGCCCCCCTGAAATTAGAGTCGTCAGCCACCACTGGATTGCGGATTTATTTATACCAGCATTGCCTCTCTAAAGATCAAGTTACATGCATTTATAAACAGCAGAACTCCCTTGGTTTGTTAAAAAAATTCTTTTTCCTTTTTTGTCTCGGTGCACATTTTTCTTACCTTTTTATTTTGCAAATTAGCTTGCCTTGTTTGGTGATCAGGCGGTAAGCACAGGCTTTATTTGCAAGCCTGATTGCTCAGGCCTGCAGTTCTGAGGAACCCTGTTGCTGGAGGACTGATGTGCCGACCATCTTGTCCAGTTGGACGCTAATTGTGAGCTGCTTGCCATGGGCAGCTTCCCAGGATCTCAGGCTGAGGGCTTTTCCAGAACAACTGCCTAAGGCTTTTGAATTAGGAATTCCTGTGGATTGAAGCAAGGGTTTTACATGTTCAGACAAGAGCTACGTGCTATCCACACCCAAGGGAGACATGGAGAAACTGCTGGATAGCTGAGTGCCTTAGATCTCTGGCTACAGAGCCAGAAGTTGGGAGTTCAATTCCCCAGTGTGCCTCCTTGAGAACGTTTGAACTCAATGATCTATAGGGTCCTTTCCAGCATAAATGCTCTCTCAGGTTCCATGGGAAAGAGGTGGATTATAAATATAAATATTACCACCAGTTTCTGTGGTTGATTTCCTAGTCCTCTCCATCCCAGGCAGGCAGAACAACATCAATTTTCCCTCTCTTTTGCCTCTGATTATAGCTGGGTTCATTGTCTCCCCTCTTTTTTCCCGTTTTGGAAAAGGTACTCAGATAAGCACACAGTTCCCTTGCCCATCAGGAACTTATAGCAACAGACTTGGGAATAGTAAAAGAGAGGACTGTCTCGTCTGCCCCAAGGGAGCCCACTGTCCAGAAGGAACTGCCAAGCCGACTCTTTGCCCAGCGTAAGTGTCATGACTGCATGAATCCTGGAGATTCCCCACCTAGATTTCTCATTATGCTACGTAAGCACCAGTGGAGGTTCCCTTACTGTTATGCTATTGCATGGGAGTTCCCTAGGATGCAGAAGATGCCAAACTACTTTATGCTAAGTCACACCATTGGTCTGTCTCATGCAGAAGGATCATTTCTGACTGGCAACAGGGATTTTTCCTGCTCCTGTTTAGGGACCCCTGGGATTCTCTGTAGTAGTGACCCATCCAAGTATTGACCAGGCCAGATCCTGCTTAGCTTCTGAAATCAGACAAGATCAGTCTGTTCAGGGTGGCACTGGGGCACTGTGTCTGTCTTTGCACCCAGCTATTTTGTAAAAAAAGGGAAAAGCACACCCCGTAACGATTTATTTTACGACATGGCTCTGGTAGCAAACTAATTAAAAACCTGTTTCATGCTCATGGCCCCTCCCTCGCTTCACAGAGCCCTGGTTGCTGTTTGATAAATAAGTTTCAGGGCTGTCGTAATTGCTGAACTCAGTGTGGAGCTAATGAAGGAAACTGGGCATCTTCGGAGATGGATGGAGTGGGAGGTAAGGGATGAAGCTGGGAAGCCTATATTGCAAAACAGAGACTAGGTCAACACACACACACACACACAAACTGATCTAAATTCTACAACTGTTCTCTACTTTCTGCTTTTTTCTTATACAGAGGAACCTACAACTCAGTGCAAGGGGCACTGTCAGCCAGAGATTGTCTGCCCTGCCCCGGTGGGTACCAATGCCCAGAGATGGGTACCATCACTCCTCATCTTTGTGGTGCAGGGAAATTTTCAGTAAGTAGCATCCGTTTCCTCTCCGCTGGCTTTAGTACTGCAATACCAACAACACTGTTCCTCGTTTGTCCTGCCAGTAACACGAAAGAAAAAGAAACGCCAAAGAGAAAGAAACAATTTCTGGGCTGAATTATTTTGTTACTTTCTTCTGCATTTTCATTTCTCACTGCAAAACTGCCCCTGCCAGTGAATGCATGAAAGGTAGCCAATGTTATTGATGTATAGTCAATGTATTAGTGACTTTCGATAAGAAGGTCGTGTGGCAAAAGTAGTCCACGCTGGGAGGAAAAGCCATAACAAGTGGAATATAACATCATGTACATATAAGCATTCTCTGATGGATAAGTTGATTGACTCATAAAGGAATTAATGGTTTCTGGCTCTGGAAACTGATTTGGTCATCTCAGTCTATGAGGAGGGCTCGAAGGTCATGAAATGCATCCATTTAGGAACGTCCTGGCTTTGCGGTCTTGAAAAGATCATGTCTTCGTCAACCCTGTTCTATGGATCTTGCAGTAACTTTCAAAAAGGCTGGTCTGGAAGTCTTCCATTTTGGACTCCATACTTACACCCATGTGTGTCTTCTCCGATACACACCTCAACACCTTTCAAGTTCTTTAAGACAAAAGTCTCCACACAGGCTTCAGAAGGTTTAAGCTCACGCACACTCAGCCTGCCTCTTCTCCCTTACTGATCCTTCTCTACCAACCTCATTGCGGAGCAGAGAAGAACCAACTGTTTTCAGATAGATGTATACCTCATTTATGAATTGTCTTTCACAAGCAGTGCAGAGTTCTGTACATGAATGAATGAACGAATGAATGAACGAGTGAGCCAGTGAGCTAGACAGACAGAGAGAGGGAGAGGACAAGAAGCAGTGTAGTGTAGTGATTAGTGTTTTAGAACAGGTTTAAATCAAAACCCTGGAGATCCAGGTTCAAATATCCGCTCATGCATCAAATGCCCGGTTGGCCTTTGGCCTCTCACACTCTGTTTGCATGATCTACTTTGTAGGCTTTTGGGGTGATGAACCTGGGAGGAGTCCATGCATTTTGTTTTCTGCTCATCAGATGGTTATTGTGAGGACAGAATGGACAAGAGGTCATATATGTTGCTTGGAATCATTGGAGCAAAAGGGAGCAACAGTATGTATAAGGGTAATAGATAAAGAACTCTCCAGACCCATTTTGCATCTGAGAAAGATTCCACTCATGCATCCAATGCCTGGTTGGCCTTTGGCCTCTCACACACTGTTTGCATGCTCTACTTTGTAGGCTTTTGGGGTGATCAACCTGGGAGGACTCCATGCATTTTTCTTTCTGCTCATCAGATGGTTATTGTGAGGACAGAATGGACAAGAGGTCATATATGTTGCTTGGAATCATTGGAGCAAAAGGGAGCAACAGTATGTATAAGGGTAATAGATAAAGAACTCTCCAGACCCATTTTGCATCTGAGAAAGATAGTGCTTCTTGAAGAAAGTGGCTTTAACAAAGCAGAAGCCACGGCATGGGCTTGGGTGTATCTTGGTCGGCTTTCCACAACCATTCATGCAAATTGTAGGAGTTTGAGATGCACATTCTGAGTGATGGGAAAATTGCTATCATTTTAATAGATTGTGGTAGCTGTCCAGCTGGCTGTTTGCCATTGTGAAGAAAAGTATCATTTGGACAATTTTCTCTTCCTCATTGTCAGAACAATTAAAGCTGCGGAGGAGAGGAGGGAGCAGACACATTACCATTCCAGACTGGCTCCCTCGGGTGTACAAATTGCAAGAAAATTGAATGTTCATTTTGCCATCAAAGGTAAAATCATACGCTAAAGAGCAACAGATGAAGAGATGGGCAGGATGGTTCTTCTGAAAAATAAATAGCAAGTCTTAGTGCCTTGTTCAGCTACAGTGAAATGGTGATGGATAATATTTAAGCTCTGATGATCAACATTTTCTTATTGATGAGAGGCAAAAATAAACAGTTCTTTGCTCCCTGGTTTATACTTTGATTCCCATCCTGACCAGGTTTCTGTAGCTTCAAAGTTTTGACAGTTTAGCATGTAGAAATATTTGCTCTGATCAGAGATATGGTAGGAATAGTGAATAGAGACCTATGACAAATAAGGTTTGATTATCATCATCCATTTATACTACTTAGATTGAAAGTTGAGCAAGCAAGATCTTATCTAAGGAAGGAGAAGGAGTAAAGGTTTCATGCAGAGTTGGAAGACAGCAGGCAGAGTGGAAAAAAGAACAGAGACGAGGAACAAGATCAAGGGGAAATAACAGAGGCCCTGTGCAGAATGCAGAAACCAAGGACTGAACTAGACAAGATGCTACCTCCCTAATTAGGACGCGATTAAACATTTCGCTTCAAAGCTACCAGGTTTGCATAATCACATTACAAATGCCCACATTCATTCTTGACAACCAACCATCAGAACAGAAGCAAAACAGTTTGCAGTGGTAAGAAACCTTAAACGAGGATAAACAAGTAAGTTTAACCTCTAAAGGGAGCTGTGCTTTAAGGATGAGATCACTATAATGTGCGCTTTGGCCCTAATTTTTTTTCAGAGATAAAAGGGGGGAAATGGTCCAGCCGGATAAAATTTGGGAGCCAAGGGAGTTCAGTTTTCTCCCTGCAGCTTCTTTCAACTTGGCTCCTGGAAAAGTATTCTGGAAGGCCGAGCCTGTGATGTTGACATCAGTTGCCACCTGCCCCCAATTTCAGGACAGAGGCTGAACAAGATACCTAATCAGTGCTGAGAAAATGCTAACAAGAGTCTGCCCATCTTTGGTTTCCCATTGTGTGGGAGAGAAAGGGAATGAATTCTGTGAATGAAAGCATTTCATTGATGGGGATAGGGTTTCTTGGTCTACTGGTCCTGTGCAGTGTTTGATCCTTGGTAAATGAGTTGGACCGTATTTCTGTAGGGTTTCTCTTTCTCTTATTACTGTGAACATATCTACTCTGTACAGCAATAAAGAAACCAGCTACCATTGTGCTTCATTCTATGCGAACCTTGAATTTGACATTTGAGGCTCTTAGCATTATCTTCCAGTGAGTTCTGAGTTCTGGTCCATTTTGCTGAAGGCCAGCACCAGCACTCCCTAGGATCCATAGAACCAGGCCAGTCAGAATCTCATCAAACTGCTGTAACTGCGTAATGTACACATACTGCTTGTATCTCGAGTTCTGTAGACATCTTACAGGTTTGGCCTGAGGCCACTAGCACATCAAGAGCCGCAGCAGAGCCTTGTGACAATTTTGAGACTATGACCATATGAGTGTTCATGGATTATATGTTACTTCTTCAGATGCGGGTCAGAAATGGTCATCACTATGAGAGCAGGACAAAGTGAAATGGGATAAAGATAACAGTTGGGTTATTACCGCTGGTCAAACACAATCACAAGATTAATGGGGCTGTGCCCTTGGAAATTTCCCTAGCTACTGTATCCTAAGGCTATGCTATTTGTAATAAAAGAATCTGCCCAGCGTTTTGGTCCCTCTAGCCCAGCACTGCCAACGTTGACTAGCAATGACTGTCCAAAGTTTTAGGGAGAATTTATTCTTAGCTTTAGCCTGTAGATCCTTGTGATTTTCTGGTGGTCTCCCATCCACGTTCTAACCAGGTCTGACCCTGCTTAGTTTCCAAAAGCAGACCTGTTTGTTTTGCTCATGGCGGCACATTAGTCTGTGCTCTTGTGATTTCTTGCAGGATATCGGATCCACCTCCTGTTCCTCCTGCCTGGTTGGACATTATTGTGCAGACCTGAATACCAGCAGGGAGGTTATGCTGCTTACAATGGTTTGCCCAGCTGGTTTGCTTTGCCCTGAAGGACTGGCAGCTCCTCCAAACACCAGTGGCCACGCTTGCCCAAAAGGCTATTATTGTCCACAGGGTGATGTGGTGAGTACTCTTGTTTTCGCCATTGTTTGCTGTCGCTCCATACTCCTCTGTTGGCTACGACAATGCAGAATGAAAGCGCCACGGAAAGCTACAGTAACATTGTAGGTGTAAGAGATTTTGGAGGCTAGTGACTGATCCTTGGACTTGATCCCCACTCCAAACCATAGGGCAACCATGAAAAATGTAGGTTCATTGGTTTTAAGCAAGTTGCTGCCTCTCACCTTTAGATCCAAGCAGATGGAACTATCCTGGCTGTTTGTTGATTTCTCATTGTCTGGGAGCAAAAAGGAGCCTGATTCAATACAATTAAGATTGCCAAGAAAACCAATGGATTGTTCATTATGGTTCTGAACTCTGAGGATGATAGATCTGAAGTGCAAAGTTCTTATAAAGAGAACAATAAAGAAGATGCATGTTTTCCCTGCTCCTGAGTCTTGCGGTTCCTTTTGAAAGCAAGGAGATTAATTGTAGCAGAAGCAGCCTGTAATATTCTGTCGGCACATACATAAACAGGGAGGGGTGGTGTGAACAAGGGAGTCGAAAGGCTTTTAAAGCACAAGGAGTTGACTGTCACTTTCTTATACGAGAGCTCAAATGTATCCAAGAAACCACTGGCACCATTCCTGGCTTCAGTAATAGGCAATAGCAATGCATTCTTCTTAGATATGCTATGTTAATTTGAGACTCAGAGTCAAAGAGGAATTCATTATCTCTATTTGGGCCTAACAAAATTGAATCAAACTTCTTGGGGATGAATGCATTGCTTTGAAGACTGTGCACTGTACTATCTTGAAATATATTATGATGATTTATTATGTAAATGATGATACATGATGATGTATTACCATGTATTACTATTACACGACCTGTTGTGTTGTATCCTGTGTGGTTACTATGTGTTTTTAGGTGGGGTTCTGGGATTTAGGGATTGTTATGAGGGTGTGTGAAGGTGTGTGTGTTTGGTCTGGTTTCTGAGTGTGCTTTGTGAATTTCGTTGTATGTGTATACGGTGTATATACGTTCAATGACAATAAATTGAAATTGAATTGAAAGATAGAGTCATTGGAGTACTTTATCTTAAGAAACTGCTTCGCCCATATTTCTCCAGCATTCGCAGGTGAAGCCATGCCCTAATGGGACGTATGGTGGCCAGAGAGGACTGGGCAGAGCCGACCAATGTTTGCGGTGCCCACCGGGCAAGTATTGCTACAGAGGAGGGGGGCAACCTCAAGGAATGTCCCAGCCGGTGAGTACTGTGCCCCTGTCGCCTCCTTCAGCGCAAACTCTTTCTTCTTCTTGAATTAGCACGAGAACGGTTAAGTCTTTGTTCCATTTTCTCAGGTGAGAAAGAAGCATTTTTAAAAATCTCACTACTAAGGGAGAACATTTTGTGGATTGTTTTTTTTCCCCTTTCTTTCCAGGGTTTTGTGGGATTTTTTTGTAAAATTTGGGAGGTGGGGAGATCTATATATGGGGATATATGCCAGCACTACTGCTGACACTAAAAGGTGCTGATCCTCTTGCTTTCACGCAGAAGCAAGTAAATTTCATTGATGATCTTTTCAACAGGATGTCTCTTCTTGGCAGGACATCCTTGTTACAGAAAACTTCAATCAATGCTACTGCCAGAGCAAACTAAATGAACTTTAGTTACATCTTCTATAAAAACGCATGCATACGTTCCGTACATTTCTGGCTGTATGATTGCCTCATCAAGAGTGATCTCTTTCTGTGTTTTCCCCCTTAGACTGGAGATTGTCCTCCTGGTTATGCTTGTCCTCCAGGAACAGGGTGGCCTTTCTCTTTCCCATGCCTGCCTGGCTCCTACTGGGATAATTCCACCACAAATCCGGGAGATGTATGTAAACCATGTCCCTCTGGATTCTACTGTGACTCTGTTGCTATGACCCAACCCAAAGTATGTCCATTGGTAAGTTCTTGTTGGAGAAAGGAATGTTGAATGATTATTAGCAAAGAGCAAATCAGATCTTCCACTAATTTTGTACTGAGACCTGTTCTCCTGTTCAGGGTTTCAGCCAGCCATGCCCTCTTCCAAAAGACACAATTCCATTCCTTGCTCCAGCAGCACATGGTCTTAGCTTGTTCCTGCTGTTTTTCCTCTTCACCATCACTGGGCTTTGTCAGGTGGACCTATGATAGGCCTCCAAAGATATTCCCCACCTACTTCTGCAAGCTTTCAATTCACCGTAAGCTGTTGATACCCTTTATTGCACCATTTTAGTTCTTGTTGTTGTTGTTAAGTCATGTCCAACTCTTTGTGACCCCATGGACCAGAGCATGCCAAACCCTCTTGTTTTCCACTTCCTCCAGGAGTTGGGTCAAATTCATGTTGGTTGCTTCGATGACACTGTCCAACCATCTCGTTCTCTGTCGTCCCCTTCTCCTCTTGCCTTCACACCTTCCCAACATCAGGGTCTTTTCCAGGGATTTGATTACTTATCCATCTCCATATGGAGAATGTGTTTGCTCACCTTGGTTGGGGCATCACGAGGTGGCTTTGTTTTTCAGGGGTTCTACTGTGCCAGTGCCAGCTCACAGCCTGAAGCTTGCCCAGTGGGCACTTTTGGAAGCAGGAAAGGTTTATCAGCCCTGGAAAATTGCAGCCCGTGTGGAGCAGGCTTCTATTGTGCTACTCATGGACAGACTGCCCCAAGTGGTCGTTGTGAGGCTGGCTTCTATTGCTGGAGCAGAGCAGTGTCACCAGTAAGTAGACCCCTGGCATTGTTATCTTTGTCTCCTCATCTACACGTTCTGGAGAATTTCCAGAATGAAAGCAGAGAGGGGCAATGTGTAGAAATCTTATTTTTGGAAGGGTGCTTGTTTTGCATTGAACAAAAATCAAGTATTAATAACAAAATGTATTCTTGAAGGCTTTCACAGCTGGGATCCAATGGTTGTCGTAGTATTTTTGGGCTGTCTGGCCATGTTCCGAAGGTTTTTCTTCCTAACATTTCACCAATCTCTGTGGCTGCCATCTTCAGAGGACAGGAGTTAGAACTCAGAACACAGACAGAGTTCTGTGTTCTGAGTTCTTATAGGAATTGGAGAAAGAGCATTCTAACAGGGCGGAAATAGTCTCCATAGAAATAAGTATGGTGTACCATCTTTCCCCGGTTCTGTGTATACTGGTAGTACCCACCCAAGGTCATCTCCAGTTCTTCTCTCTGTTGAGATCTAAGCACCTCTTCTGCAAATTCAGCTGCCCACAGATGGAATCACTGGGAACGTTTGCCCACCTGGGACTTACTGCCCACCTGGATCCTCTGTTCCCATCCTCTGCCCTCCAGGAACCTACAGCAATACCAGTGGATTGAAACACTTGAAACAATGTTTGGACTGTCCACCTGGGTGAGTTTTTTTTTCTTCCTTCCCTATTCTTCCAAAGAATATAGGCTGAGTTGTTTGGTTCAAAGTGGCACGAAAAGTCCAGGGTCCTTCCCTGCTGTGTTGAATCCCAAGAGGTACATGTATGAATGAATCAAAGTCATGCATTACACAAAATACCAACAAGTTCCAAGAGGTGACATGCCTACCTCAAACTAATGTCATATACTGTTACCATTGAAGTTTGGGGTCATTCCAGGATTCCAAAGTTCTCTGGCTCCCCATCATGACCTTGCATGAGTCCCCAGATTTCCATCAGACTGAAACGGATGCTGGGGTTGCAATTTTTACTCCCATTTCTACAGCAGGGGATAAGTCTCCAGAACAGGAAGTACAAAGAGGGGAAAAACCCACCCCCTACAACAACATCTTCTTGGGTAGGGGGTACTGTGAGACAAGGATGACCACCTTGAAGACCTTCTTCCTGACCTTCACCCAGTTCATGTCAGATCCAGGAACACCCAAAGAAGGACTTCTGCAGGTCACAGGGTGCAGTGAATTCATGTGTTTCCCCGTGGAGATATTCTCCCCTCTTTCTAACACTAGGTTTTACTGTGATGGAGTGAATCCACAAGCACCCACTGGGCTTTGCAAACCTGGCTACTTCTGTACAGGCGGTGCCAAAACAGCCACCCAAATAATGGCAAAAGAAGGGCATTATGCTCCAGAAGGGGCCACCCAGGCAGAACCGTGCCCTCCTGGAAAGTTCCAGCCGGTAAGTGGAGTCTACAGATGTTCTTGAACTGCACGTAATGCCACTGAAATTATTTTCAGCTGAATATTCTATTTTTTTAAGGCACAAGGCATAGGGATCCTAAATGGACAGAATTCTTAAAAAGGCTCTGTCTTCACTATTGTTCTTTTTAAAGCACCAAGCTTTAGTTGCTAATTTAGTCAAAGAATCAATGAAATTGTAGTTATTTAATAGGCGAGCACAAGTTTTGATTCACGGGACTAGACAATTCAGGCATACTTCTTAGTTTTGAGACTACTCCATATGTCAAAAGGATGCCTTTCCTACTGCAGAGGATCTGTTAATATCTTTAGGATCAGAATGTTGATTCATTAATTGTTTAATTCTCAACCTTCTTGGGGGTCACAGCCATAAACACAATATGAAAGAAATAGGAAGCGGAAGCAAGGTTCCATAAGTTGTATAACGAGCCTTATAAGATGGTGTGTGAAGAGCTGTCTCCGGTCTGTGACCACCCTCCAATGTGCCAGGGGCCCCCAGAGGTGCCCTATGGCCCCCATTGACAATGGTTGGTTTGAAAGGCAAATGATAGTCAATGTACAGTTATGTAATTACTCAGTACCCCTGTTTTGGTGAAATAACTCTTTTATTCAATGCCACTCAGTACATGCATGTCATCCAGCTCTCCTTAGTCATCTGTGGAGTAGCTAATTATCGGCTGCTTCGTAGCCAGTAGGAATGGTTGGCTCTCCCTGTTTCTGGTCCATTCCATGTCATGCATGTGTTCATTTCTTAGTCCATTCTGTCTTAAATTGGTATTAATATGGGCCTCAGTAAAGGAGCTATCAACAGCAATGGGATTTGAATACTGTATGTATTCCTGGCTAAGATCCTGGTGTTTAGCATACGCCAAATCTTATGTGATCATCCATTCCTCCCTAGAAAACAAACAGTCTCTGCCATGTTTCTTGGGGTGTGAATGTGAAAGAAACACCGACGCAAACACTGTTTACCAGGGAGGAAAAGACCAAAAGTCACAACTTGCCTATGCTAAGCAAATGCACTTTTCTAAATATATTACCTCAACGTAAGCACATTTTCTATGCCTTTTTGTAATGTATTAGAAAAGCAATTGTTTCCCAGTCCAGGAGTGTTGTTCTAGGAGGTGTCGGTCAGCTTGGTTCACTTCAAAGAGGGAACCAAACCAACGTATTCTGTACCCCTAGCTGTGAGTCAAATGAGTTTGCATTCGAAACATGACGACAGCACAGTTTTGTCTTGTTCACCCAGCCAGGGATCCACTGAGCCTTGGATGGACAGGAAAATAAGTTGTTGGCTTTCCTATTTAACTTTTCAACTGACATTTGAGGGTTATCTTTTCTCATAGTATCTCCTCTTCTACCTCTGTCTAGAGTCTGGCCCAGTCCACTTGCAGAGAATGCCCGTCGGGGACGTTTTGCAACCGCACTGGCCTGGTTGAACCCTTGGCTTGTCCCAAAGGAAATTACTGCCCAGCCGGGAGTGTTCAGCCCCTTCTTTGCCCAGTGGTAAGATGTTTAAAACTGGCACAAATTCCTCTGTTACCAAAATCCATGGGAATCCGAAGAAAATGAAATCCACTCCCTCCCCTCCCAAAAAAAATCCGTAAGCACATTTTCTATGCCTTTTTGTAATGTATTAGAAAAGCAATTGTTTCCCAGTCCAGGAGTGTTGTTCTAGGAGGTGTCGGTCAGCTTGGTTCACTTCAAAGAGGGAACCAAACCAACGTATTCTGTACCCCTAGCTGTGAGTCAAATGAGTTTGCATTCGAAACATGACGACAGCACAGTTTTGTCTTGTTCACCCAGCCAGGGATCCACTGAGCCTTGGGTGGACAGGAAAATAAGTTGTTGGCTTTTCAACTGACATTTGAGGGTTATCTTTTCTCATAGTATCTCCTCTTCTACCTCTGTCTAGAGTCTGGCCCAGTCCACTTGCAGAGAATGCCCGTCGGGGACGTTTTGCAACCGCACTGGCCTGGTTGAACCCTTGGCTTGTCCCAAAGGAAATTACTGCCCAGCCGGGAGTGTTCAGCCCCTTCTTTGCCCAGTGGTAAGATGTTTAAAACTGGCACAAATTCCTCTGTTACCAAAATCCATGGGAATCCGAAGAAAATGAAATCCACTCCCTCCCCTCCCAAAAAAAATCCATAGTAAGATCATGCATTTATGATGATAAAGTTTGGTTGGACGATTAATGGTATTGTTATATTACAAGGAATGTCACTGCTATATGTTGAATCTCATATTGTAGATGATGATCCATAGGATCCTTTCCAACTCTGAAAGTCTAAGATGGATCATCACATGGGGCCCCTGACAAGGAGGCACAGCGGGGAATCAAACTTCCAACGTGTAGCTCTGCAGCCAGATGCCTAAACCACTGAGCTATCAGTTAGTACAAGCTCCAGTTTGCATGATTTAAAGCAGATCAGGATTAGGAACACAAATATTCTGCCAGTAGAGCAGCAACGTTCTATTAGAACCATCTCAGAGATCTGCCAACGTAGCAGTCTGCCAGCAGACTAAGATCGGCCAGAAGAAGAGGAGGAGAAGCAAAGCTATAGAGAAGGGACAGAATGAGAGAGTATCTCAACTCAAATCTTCTCCAGCCCAGAGATACAACTGTACTAATGGCCCAAAGTTAAGCCAAATATAATGATACTTTCCAATTTTTGCAGTTTCTACTGGCCAAATGTCAGATCAGCCAGAAGGATCCTAGTTAGAGCAGGGGGATCAGGGCTGTGACCTGGGGTACTGAAATTTAAATGTCACCCCTCCCAAAAAAGGTGATGCTGTGACTATTTGAACCCGCTCTCCCTGAGCACGTGTACCACTTCCAACCACTTCTCCCTGGACAAAAGGAAACACAAAATAGCTGTGGAGAGTCAAGATGGTCATCATGTCTTCAGATCCAGATGGTCCTCTCCATCCTCTCGACCCGTGGGCCAACCCCACCTGACCCAAGTTAAACCAATGGAACAGCAAAACACAGAGGGCCAAACTAGCTAGTTATGGCTCTCTCTCAGCTGTCACTGGGCTATCTCAGCCAGTTCGTGTTGCTCTCCTGTTGTTTCCAGAGTTACGGCAGTTTTAAATTTCTCCGAGAAACCTCCTTCGTCTTCATGTGCGAGCCATGAGTTTTACACTACAGCAGCCGCTGCTGTTGCCAACGGATTCCATCATCAGCTCTAGCAAACCCCTTTTTTTCAAGCTCACTGTGATGCATGCCTACCTCTTTTAAATCCACTGATTAGTTTTAATGCTGGCATATCCCAGCCTCAAAAACTCTTTGAGTTCTTAGGACTCAGAAATGTCACCAGATGACTGGAGCAAACATTAGAGCTACTTTTGTGCGATAAATCCCTTGTTTCTGGTACCTGCATGATCTTACACTGATCTGGGGGATGCCTGTACACATGTTGACATCCTGTGCTCAGGCAAACACTGTGTGACTTATTTTCTACACAGAGAAAGGCTGTATCCATCCAGAAAAGTATGGGTGCTAAGTCCTTTTTAATTCATTTTTTCAACTGTGCAAAATTATGATCAAAACGGAGGAAAGGAGAGGAAAGGGATGGGGAAGGGAAGAAGGAAAAGGAAGGAAATTCAATAGACAGAAAAAATCAATAAAAGTGAAAAGGTAATTTAAGGAAGTTAGGGGAGGAATCCATGCATAAACTTCAATCAAGGACAACTAAATGTCCAGATGGATCTCCAGATAAAGTTGATTTTTATATGAGACATGTTTTGATGGTGAAAAGAGTAGTCTTTGAAATTCACAGGTATACACCTGCTTTTAAATTATGTGGTTCTTTGGGATTAATTAGTGTTCAGAAGAAAGGGGGGTTAGCCATTTTGGTAGCGACAGGACATCTCTTACAATACTGGGAAGATAAATACCCACCGCCTGTTGCTCTATTAATTGGGTACAATTTTTCTTCCAAGGGAAATGTGTGTTATTTTTCTTCTTGGATTTTGACATTGTGTTCCTCCTCTGTTTCTTTCAGGGCACCTACTCGGACAGCTGGGGTGGCACAGGAATGGGGACCTGCAAGATGTGTCCAGCAGGCATGTACTGCAGTAAACCTGGCCTGGTGGTGCCCGAGGGACCTTGTCAACCAGGATATTATTGTCTCCAAGGGTCCAGCAGTGCTTTCCCAGTAAGTTCTGTGTCGGTGTCTCATCTTCCACTTTTCTTTTAAGATGATCATTGTTCAAGGTTTCAACTGATACCTGTGTCTCAATCTGCACTTGATGACTGAGGCTGAGATGAGCCAATCTTTATGTGTCTTTGGCTAAGGTTCATAAGGGGCTGCACAGATCCCATCAAAAATCAGGTCAGAATTGCTGTTATTCAGCAGAGCACAGGTCCAGATTGTTGAGTTCTGCCTGAAGGAGGCAAGTAACGTACAAAACAGGGCCCAAAATAGCTTGTCCATCCATCCATCCATCCACCCATCCATCCATCCACCCACCCATCCATCTATCTATCCACCCACCCATCCATCTACCCACACACCCATCCATCCATCCATCCATCCATCCATCCACCCACTCACTCACTCACTCACTCACTCACTCACTCACTCACTCACTCACTCACTCACTATATATATTTTTTCCACTACCTTCCTCCTAAAAACGGCCCAAGGTGGTGAAGAGATCTCCTAGTTCCGTAGTTAAGATTTTGAACAAAGCAGTGTCTGCATAAAGTCCTGTGAGCCAATGAGAATACAGCTAAGCTGAGTCCAGCCAACTTAGGGTTAGGGCTTCGTTCTCTAAGATAAAAGGTCTGTGACCCAATGGGAATGCAATTAGTCTCTTGTCCAATCAGTGTCTCTTAGGGTCAAGGTTTTTACAAGCACATGATTGGACAAGAGACTAGTTGCATTCCCATTGGGTCACAGATCTTTATGGCATCACAATTTAATTCAGAAGCTTGACTGATAGGTGTCATGGACTGCCAGAAAGACAAACAAGTGGGTGCTAAATCAGAGCAAGCGTGAAATACCTCTAGAAGCAAAAGTGGATAAATTGAAGCCATCACATTTTGGTCATATCATGGGATGTCAACATATGGGGATCGTGTACGGCAGCAGAAGAAGAGAAACACTGTACATGGATTGATTTGACAAAGCAGTCATGACCTTCGTTAGCAAGACCTCAGCAGGGCTGTTAATGACAGGACTTTCTGGAGGTGACAAATTTATATGGTCATCATAACTGAGAAGTGACTTGACACCCCTCGACAATAACAATACCACTTGGCTGAACTTGGCCAAGAAGGGCAGTGATCGGTTTAAGTGCCAAGTTGGGTTGTCCTTTGAAGCCTAAGCAATACACCACTTGTAACAATTTCATGTTCAGTGTTTCCGAACTTTTGATCCTCTATTTTGGTGTTCAGCTGTCATAACCTATGACTATGCTGGTTGGAATCCAAAACAGCTGGAGAGCATCGATTGAGAATCTGCGCTCACCACTGTTATGTGTTACTCATGCATTATACTGTCCTCTTTTTTTCCTAGGCTGGTCACCCCTTTGGTGGCCCTTGTCCTGCAGGGCATTATTGCCCAGCTGGCACAAAGCAACCCAGAGAAATGCCCTGCCCAGTTGGGACATGGAATGAGCGGAAAGGAGGTCAGGATCCCACCTGGTGTCTACCTTGTCCACCTGGGTTCTTCTGTAGTGGCCCTGGCCGCATTTCGCCAACAGGACCATGTGCTCCAGGCAAGAATATCAGGAGGTTTCGTAACATCGCTAAGAAAGAATTTTTATTGCATTTTGAAAGGGAAGTCTTGGTTAATGGTCCCATTCTCCAGGGAGAAAAGAAAATGCTATTGCTTGTTTATATGCATATATTTTCTGCTTCATTTGGATACATCCTAATTTAACATCTGCATAATATCTTCTAGTTTTGTAGAATAGAAATATGGAGTTAAAGTAGAACCAGATCTGATACAGATAAGTTCTTGTATATTTCTGAATGATTTGTGCTGGATCAGTAAAGGTTTCTGACTCCCATTTATCTCTAACAATAGCCCAATTTTTCAAAAAGCCTCTTCCTTCCCTTCAAATTAGTTTAGTGCAAAATGGCACTGGGAAAGGAAGGAGTGGATTTTTTTTGTGGAAGAGGTTCCAGGCTTGATTCTGATACAGAACCTCCTGGGCTGAACCCATGCTTGGTGTTCCTTCTGCCTCCAGCATGAAACCTGTCCCCCTAATGCCACGGCTTCAACCTTGGGCACCCCTTGACGAACCTCAGGATGGAGCCCACAAAGCTGACATTGGTCCATACTGGTAGAGCGAATGGAAAATTTAACCCGGATCCCAGAAACGAACATAAAAACCGAACAAAAAACAAAGCTCCCATTAAATTGGGAAATCCACCATGTGGCCCAAACACAATACCTTCCTCCTGCTCTCTCTCTTTCTCTTTCACAGCCTAAATGCCATGATAAGGGTGGTTGGGAAAATTAGTGTGGCATGTAAACTCCCTGCCACACTTTCCACTCTGTCAATGTCGTGTTGGAAACTAGGCTTTCATTTCTTTATGCTGACCACTGTCAGAAGGCTCTGGGGTGCCAGATATGATTATCTATCTATCTATCTATCTATCTATCTATCTATCTATCTATCTATCTATCTATCTATCTATCTATCTATCTATCTATCTATCTATCTATCTATCTATCTATCTATCTATCTATCTATCTATCTGTCTGTCTGTCTGTCTGTCTGTCTGTCTGTCTGTCCGTCCGTCCGTCCGTCCGTCCGTCCGTCCGTCCGTCCGTCCGTCCGTCCGTCCGTCCGTCCGTCCGTCCGTCCGTCCGTCCGTCTGTCTATGTCTGTCCGTCCGTCCGTCCGTCCAAGTCAACAGTATCGTGACATAAAAGTCTGTAATAATCAAAATCAAAACAGCAATCAAACAACTAAAAGGACAACCGAATAATCCAAAAGTAACTGATACCGAGCTGAATTAATCGCTTAAAGTTATCTCCTGTTTGTATATTTGAGCTGAATACATGGCTCCTGGTGAGTGATAAAAGTGTGCGAACGGCTGACTCTGTTTGGAGGAATCCTGTTAGTTAAACCTGCCTTTGGCCTACATTTCAGGAGTCAATGGCCACATTAAGAAGTCAGGGTAGGTATTTGCTGTCACACCCCACTCGTGTGGCTCTTGAGTGCAGTACGAAAGGCCTGCGTTGATTTTTTTTTAAAGTTGTGGTCATTTGCCCTAGGAAGTTAGGTTGGTAGAGTTGCCCTGGCATACATATGCAGAAGGACTCCAGCTGGGCGACCAGGACTTCCTTGATAGGTCATGGGTGCTGAACTCTCCTGCTCAGCTCTCTTCTGCAATAAGGCGTGTTTTGAACTAATCGTGTGCTCTCCGTTTTCAGGGTTTTACTGCAAAGGCGGGACACGGACTGCTCGGCCAGTGGACAGGGCAACTGGAGATCTGTGTCCTGAAGGCCATTTCTGCCCTGCGGGTTCAGCAGTGCCCTCTCCATGTCGGGACGGGGAGTACAGTGCACTGGCAGGTCAGGAAGAGGAAGAGGCGATGATGCCCTCGAGGCATGGCTTGCAGGAGTGCCTAACGGAGGGAGGAGGCTCATGCCCTTTGGACCAAATCAGATAAATGGAATTCAACCAAGCTAACTACCCGAAAAAGCGTGCCGTATTTCCAAGTCAATATAAATGTATCCTGCTTCCACCTGAAAGCCTATCCTCTTGGCCCTTGGCAATCCCTAAATCCTTTCCCAATTCTCTTGTAACTAGTCTAGGCTGTTATCCCAGAATCAGTGCCAGCAAGCCACAGCAAGAAAGAGGAAGCGAGCAGAGAAGGCATGTAAGGGAGGTCTTTCTCTCTTAAGGCTCTTGAGAAATCTACCTTTCTAAGACTACCAACATCTAATCCAAGCTGGAGAAGCATCTGAGTGTTGTGGGTTTTTTGTTTGTTTCTGTGTGGGTGGGTTTGTTTTGTTTTTTTGGTACTTATCACATATATTAAGCAGGTCTTACAAACTCTCAAGATGTATATTTTTGAGAAATGCAAGTTTCAATGACTTTGCGGTCCTTTTTTTTTAACCCATTAATCAAAAAGCACCTTTTTTAAAAAAAATCTGTTTTCTGGGGTCATCGTGCTTCAGCTCATCTTCAGTGCAGAACTGGGAAGGGGAGAAAATAACAGGATTTTGGAGATGGATGGACTACATCTCCCAAGAGAGCTCAGGGGGGATGGACCCTAGCGATACTGGCTGGGACATCCTGGGAGTCGTAGCGCAAGACCAGTCATGTTTCTAAGCTCCAAGAGCCATTGCTTAGCACTGTTTTAATTTTCTTTCTCCAGGTCGGGAGGAATGTTTTCCCTGCCCGGCTGGCCTTTATTGTAAAAATGGCATCCGGTACCATTGCCCAGCCGGGTTTTACTGCCCGCCCAAGACTGGGGTCACCCCTCATCCATGCCCTCCTGGGACTTACAGCTCATCTCCGGGTATTGACCAAGCAGAGAGATGCCAGCTCTGCCCTGCAGGTAAACAACCACCTCGGCATGCAAATAATTTGTACTGTAGTATTCTGAACGAAAGAGTTACAAAGATCTTTCTGTGTGCCTCCTCCAGAAGCTCTCTCTCCCCTCCCTTTCGACTGACACAATCGCTTAGAAGACCTAAGGATAAAAGGCATAACAATAGTCTTGCTGGTGGTTGTGATCAAGACATGACATCAAGTCATGTCTTCCTTGGTTCCAGTGACAAGGCGGCTTGTCGCTTTCCCCACATGGTTGGGCATCTTCGAGGAAAGCCATTCAGTGCTTGATGTCTGATTGCTTGTGTTTCTCCTCAGGGATGTTCTGTGGTGAGTGGGGATTGTCTTCTCCGACCGGCCCCTGTTTCCCAGGCTTCTTCTGCAATTCAGGTATCAACTGTTCCCTCCGTGCCTGCCCTAGACATTATTGCCTTGTCGTTCCTTGTGACCATGCCTTTATTCAAAGAGCAAGAAACCATGCTAGGGCATCTCCAGTGGGGAATACCAGGGTTCAGTTGGAGACCTTCTGCACACCAAGCCACAGCCCTTCCTCAAAGCAACAGGGCCAGCCCTGCCAAGAGGCCCCGTGAGGCTGTGACCTCAAATGGTAGCAAGGAAGGAGCAGCATATTCCCTATTCTCCACCCAACCCTCTTACTGCCTGACTCCTGGGACTATCAAGTGTCAAGGGAGCTTTGATCATTCAAAGCAACCAAAGGCTGCTATCAAAGAAGGGGAAGAAACCTTAGACTAGAAGGGACCCAAGTTGGCTGTCTCAGCCCTATGTTTCTCTTGACCTTGGCTCGTCTTTCTGCTTCTGTTTAGGCTCCACTGTTCCAAACCCTGATGGAATCTCTAATGCGAGTGCTGGGGGCCCTTGCCCACCTGGGCACTTTTGCCCAGCTGGCACCAGGACCCCTCTCCCATGCCCACCGGGTACCTTTTCAGACAGGTATGGATTAGGCTATGAAAATCTCTCTGTTTCAGTTTCTTTGAGTTTCTCCTGATCCTGTCCAAACTTTCTTCCAGCCTTTTTTTTTTTACCTTGCTGGCTTGCAAGCCCGTGCTTTCTTTCCACGCTAAAAGATGGCTGCATTTCTGCGCCTTTTCCCCTAATGCGCCCATTTGTTTGTGCATGTTGCCTCATTTATGCAACATTGAAAACGAAGGCATTTTTGTGCATATATTTACAATTACGCTCAATTTGGGGGGGGGAGGCTTTCTCATTTTAAAATGTGCACACTGCTTTGAATCTCCTGGCCCCACCCCAAAAAAACCCACCCTGCATTCCTCACAAGTGTACAAATGTTCACCACCCACAGTGAGCCCTTGGAGGTTTGAAAACTCACTTTTTAACTAAACCATTGAGTCTAGCCAAGTCCTTTCCCACCCCAAGTAGGGACTCCAATGACTGCCTGCCCTTCAACACAGTGCCCTCTTCAGGCAGAGAAGGGGATGGCAAGGGTCACACAGCCCCTGGATTATCCAAGCTCGGTTTAAATGCTAGAAACAACAACCTTTGCTTTTACATAATCAAGGGAATTGGGTGTTTTCTGCAATATGCAGGTCAAGCCATCACTCACCTGGTGTGGGGGGATTTAGCATTGGCTTACATGCATTCTTGGCGTGACCCTGAGAACTTACGGCAATTGTATCTCCTCAGACTGTATCTCTCCCTTGAGAGCAGCTGCATTGTGTGCCCGCCTGGCTATTACTGTCTCTCTGCTGGACTCACAGCCCCCTCTGGCCTCTGCTCGCCTGGCTACTACTGTCTACCTGGAGCCATCTCACCTTCCCCTGCAGGTAAGTATATGTGACCTGAGTTCTGCATGCCTTTGTAAAGCCACAAGGAGATTTTTTTTTGCTAAATTCTTTTATGCCTCGAGCATCAACTAGAAATGTTTAATCTATCCCTTTTCACAGGGCTTCCAGAACAGGGAGGGCTTTGCCCGGTGGGCCACTTTTGCCCAGAAGGGACCAGCCACCCGTTTCCCTGTCTTGCTGGAACTTATAACAATCTCACTAAGCAACCTGTTTGCTTCCCGTGTCCTGCTGGTTACTACTGTCCTGAAAATACCACCGACTACAGTAGGTTCACATGCCCGCCCGGCTTCTTCTGTCCGCAAGGTGAGGCGTGCCATTGCTATCAAGAGGGTCTTGTTAGCACTACTGATGTTTTGGGGTCTGAGAAGGAGAATGTCCTGAAAGGCCAAAGCAAAAGTCTCTTTACTCGGGTTTCTTGGAGAACAAGGGTTTTCAAAGTAAACTATGGAGACTTTTTGCTTAATGCATGCTTCCTTGTCGATTTTTAGTGAAAACTGGAACCGATTTCCAAAGGGAAATGAATGAACCGAAGTACAGCGCTGTGGAACCCCGTGGAGGTCTCTTGGTGCCCTCTGCTGGTGCTGGTGTGGTCGTGCACGATGTTAGGAGCAAATGATGTGTGGATCTGATCATCTGAAACTAAATCTCACTGTCTGTTTCAGAAAAGAACATAGTGTGTGGTTGCCTCCACATCTCCACTGGCAGCTGCAAACTCACACGCACCATGCATGAGGAAGCCATTTGCATTTATCCCTAGTGGTGCCTGTTATCCAGTGGTTAGCTGTCCAGCGAACAGCTCACCTAGTGGATCAGGAATTCTGAGATCCCACATGGCTGGGGCAAGCCAACATCAAGAGAAATCCTGGCCAATGAGACCAAAACTCCCATCTGGTTTTGCTTTGGAAAGCCAGCTCACCTCTTGAGAGCCAGTTGGCCGCTTTCATTTTCTGTGTCACCCCGGACGTTTTTGTTGACTGAAGCAAAGGGTAACCCAGCCTGCCAACCCCCTTTGGGTGCCGTGCTGCCTCCCCAAAAAACTGAGGTTCCATGTGAATATCATGATGAGTGACTGCTGATAAGTGAGACATGCTCCGTAATGTGACTGTGAAGAGTATTCCTATTCAGAATTTATGTAATTTATTTATTTAAAATCTTCATCCTCATCATGTGCTATCAAGTCAATTCTGACTCATGGGAACCCTTTTTCAACGTTTTCCAGGAAGAGAATACTCAGAAGTGGTTTACTGTTCCCTTCCTCTAGGAGGTGCCCTTGGGACTATGCAGCTTGCCCAAGGCTACACAGGCTGGCTCTACTTGTAGAAGGTACAGCCAGCCTGTGTAGCCTTGGATGGGAGCTTGCAGATGAGAAGCTTCTTCAGTACCATAATCCTTCAGGCAAATAAGCATCCTTCAGCAGAGTAAATGTGCAGGCCAGCAAGCAAAGGTTCTAGCCTAGCCTTGTCTTGTGTATTGGGACTATGCAGCTTGCCCAGAGCTACACAGGCTGGCTCTACTTGTAGAAGGTACAGCCAGCTTGTGTAGCCTTGGATGGGAGCTTGCAGATGAGAAGCTTCTTCAGTACCATAATCCTTCAGGCAAATAAGCATCCTTCAGCAGAGTAAATGTGCAGGCCAGCAAGCAAAGGTTCTAGCCTAGCCTTGTCTTGTGTATGTTGTTTTTGCACAGGATTGGTGGAATTATATTGTTAGTTCAGTACAGAGGAGCATTCGATGGGTAAGACAAAACTAGAAGGAGTGGGTGGAGATTACAGGAAGGCAGATTTCAGCGATGATCAGCAGAAACCTATCAACACTGAGGGCTGCCCTTTACTTGAGGCATTTAAGCAGAGGCCGGATAGCCACCTGTCTGGGTCAAATCCTGCACTATAGAGGCAGCATTGAAGGATATGATCTCCCAAGTCCTTTACAGCTAGAGCTTGAAAAAACTTTGGGCTTTACCTTTCCCACACTTGTGTTTCCAGCTTTTTTGGTCCTATGAACAGATTTGTTGCTGCCTGCCTTCCAGACTCAGGTTCGCCACCTCTGGCATGGATGAAGCCAAAAGCCGGCCCTCGAGAGTTAGAGATCTGCTCCTCTGTTTGGTTACTCCTGGCTCTGTTTCCTTGTGCCTCTCAGGAACCAAGTTTGCAACGGAATTTCCTTGCCCTCGGGGTTATTACAACCCGGATCCAATGACCCAGAGCCTGGACAGCTGTTTGCCATGCCTCCCAGGGCATTACTGTGGGAAGGAAAATTTAACCACCGTTTCGGGGAAGTGTGATGCAGGTGAGGCGAAGTTATCTCAGCAGAAACCTGTCTCTGTCCACTGACCTTCCGTGGCACCAATAAAAGAGGAAGCTCTTTTTCCTGCTGCCCGCTTTTTGCATCTTCTCATGCTGTCTGTTTCCCTGCACTAGGATGGTTCTGCATTTTGGCCGCATGGACACCCCAGCCTTTTGATCTGGATAACTACACCAGTGGCAACTGTCTTTGCCCTGCCACGGCCACAGGAGCTAAATGTTCCCCTGGGTTCTACTGCCCAGAAGGCAGCCCTGAGCCCATTCTGTGTCCTCCAGGGTTTTACTGCAATGCACCAGGTAAACAAGAAAATACCGTATTTTTCCATGTATAAGATGCCCCATGTATAAAACCCCACCTGTTCTAACCCATTTTTTTTCTTTGCAAGAAAGTGGAGGGGAAAAACAATTATGTTTAAATGTGTGTGCATGTGATCAATGCATCGGTATTAAGCAGCTTGAGGTCTGGCTCTCTAAGAGACCTCTTGTCTCATTATGAACCTCTCCAGGTGTCAAGGTCTTCAGGAAGGTCCCTCTTGAAAATACCAACAGCTCCATAGACCTGTTTGGCAGGCATACAAAAAGGGCTTATTCCCATATACTGTAGATCCCAAACTGTGGGCTGTCAGTTGAGGACGGGACCTTCAGGAGTTCGCTCATTCGTAGGGTCAGAGACAACTTGATGGCACACGAGATGAACAATTCTCAATTTATCAACTAAAGGTTTTGCTGGTTCATCTACCAGTTAAATGAGTAGTTATAAATTAACAGAAGTGTGGGTTTGCGTGTGTTGGGAATGTCTCTGGGCTGATGTTCCTCCTTCCTTTTCCTTCTTGAGGTCTGTCTGCTCCAAGTGGTGAATGTGCAGCTGGTTTTCATTGTACAGGAGGAGCCTCTTCTCCTAAGCCTGTGGATGGCGTTACAGGTAACCTCTGTCCACAAGGCGCTTACTGCCGTAAGTATCCCACTCCACGTCCAGAGGAAGAATTTTGTCCCTTGGAAAGAACATTCGTCGTAGGTTCTTGCATCTCAGTTCTCCCAATGCCAGTCTTTGAGTACATTTAATTCTTTAAAAAATAAAGATAAAATAAAACCAAAACCTTCTGGTTTATGTGTGTTGGATATTGTACTTCTGTACCCATGGTGATTCAAAAAAGCCAGGAAACAGTCCAATATTGCTGCACAATATCACGTTGTCAGCAGGAAAAAGGATGCCAAGTTTGATCTAGCAAAGGGCATCCTGAATGTTGATGACACCCATGGCATCCATCAAGAGGGTCTATAGGATGCCCTGTTCTGCTTACTACTGTACACAAAGGGACACCAGCAGCAGACTCCTTTCTACATCAGTTAGCCACTGCTCACCCAAACCCGAAGCAATGATCAGGGCTGTTTTACAACAAGCATGAATGGAAATTGTTCCACATGTAGTCCAAACTGTCAGGAGCGACCCAAGGCAACGTGAAATCAAATATAGCATATCGAGCATAACACAATGGCCTGAGAAATACATGTTGACCATGTTGTTTCTGCTTAACAATGGTCTTAAAACTTTCTGTTTCTTTCATCTGTTTGTTTCTGCTCACAGCCGCAGGGTCCTCCACGCCAACCCCTTGTCCCTCCGGCACCTTCTCCAACTTCTTAGGGTGGAGTATGGTTTCAGACTGCCAGCTCTGTCCCTCCGGGTTTTACTGCGAAGGATCTGGACTGAGGGCCCCTAGTGGAGAGTGCTGGGAAGGTAAACAACGTTGTTTAGTAAGGTTTCTTTGGAAGAAGCCATCCCTATCAAACTGGTGTGCAATTCCTGCAGCTTTGTGGGACTTTCAGAAATGTAGACAATGCAGGTGTAGTGGATAGTCTATTGGTACTAGGACTCAGGAGACGGGGGTTCAAATTCCCCACTCAGTCATGGAAACCTCTTGGGAGGTAGTAATGGTTAATCACTCATTGAACATCTCACAGACATCAGAAACCTTGATAGGTTCACCATAATTCTGAAGAACCTTGAGTACACATAGTCATAATCACAACCACAGAAAATTTACTCAGTCAGAGTGCAGTTCCTAGAATCCCACATCCAACACAGTGAATGGGTTGGTGGAGATACAGATTTGTAAAAAGCAGCTTTTCCAAACTGTGCCTGTGGTTCTTATCTAATACAGAGGAATCTCCATCCATGCCTGTTTTCCCATTACCCTGTCAATGATTTCATACAACATGCTATTCCTACATCTCTGTTGACCCATTTTCAGTGTGTTATTTGTTTGATTCTTTTTATATATTTGCACACTTACTGTGTTTAGCTTTAAAATATTGTCTTTTAATGACATAAGTCTTTTGAAGGAGAAAAGTGAGGCAAAAATGTTTTAAATAGTCTGTTTCCTCCTCCACCCTTTTTTTCACCCACACACTTTTCCCCCCATTCAGGCTATTACTGTGACAATCGTCAGGGGCCCATCAGCGACTTTACCCTCTACCTTTGCCCACAGGGCTACTACTGCCCACCAGGCACAAGGTGGTCCACGCAGTACAGCTGCCCTTCGGGGACATTTGGACCCAAAGAAAAACAAAAGAATGTTGATGAATGCCAAAGCTGCCCGCCAGGAAAATTTTGCTCGTCTCCTGGCCTGGCTGCCCCAACAGGTAGGTAGGTGGCTTCTGCAAGTTGAAAGCCCTGACCGAAGGGGGAAAGAAAACTTTCAGATGAACACAGACTTTGAAGGGCAGTCACAAAGGTCTCAGGCAGAAACATAGATACCTTTGTTTTGCATTGTAAGTAACTGTGTGCAGCTGCAGTTACAGAAATCCAAGTCAGAAGAGAGACGTCCCAGAACATGTTGCATAAGAGGATCAATACAATATTCAAGGAAAATTTAGAATTGGCTTAGAGGGGTACCCCTGTACTCTTGGTTCTACCATGTGGTGTGGAATGAATTGGGGTCTACTTTAGGTTAATTCAGGGGGTCTGAGCCAGGTGGAACTAGCACATGGGTTTCGGCCACTGTGCTTAATGGCGCTTAGTTCTGAGCAAATGTGTATAAAGCTGTAGGGGTGGATTGTAGGCTTTACATGCAGAAAGTTTCATGCTCAATCCCCACTTTCTCCAGGTCAAGCCCGGAGAGAGTCTAGCATGAAAGCATGGAGAGTCATCCCCTAGTTTGCAATACAGCGCAGACATGGCAGAAGGCACCTTTCTGTGTTAATACATTTACTATTGAGCACATGATGGAGCCATTTATTTTGAGAAACGATGAAGGCATTCACTCTAAAGTCCTGTGTCAGACTGGGGAGTCATTTCAATCACACCATACAGCATTGATTTCAAGTCTGTCAAGGATCCTTAGACAGCTGGAAAGACTTGTTTTTCAATCAGAACTGACTGCTGAGAGTCAATGTAGTGCTCTTTGGACTCTGTTCTTTATCTGTCTGTAGGCCCTCTAATCCCATTTTGCGATATTATTAGCACCAGTCAGAAATACTCTGAATGCTGCATATAACATTCTACTTATTTTAGCACTACTTTTAGAGATAGTCTTTGATATTGCTGTTTTACATTATCTCCTCCTTCACTGTTTACTTCCTATCCTAGCTTGCTTTTGTGCTAATGCATTCCATGCTCCTTAATCCGTTACCTGCAAGGCAGCCTTCAGCTTTAGCTTCTGCTGTTGAACAATTCAGTGTCGAAGTGTGCGGCCAAGTAAATTAGTTTCCTATTTCTGCTAGCATGTGGGTCATACATTTCAGAATGAGCTGTTTGGAGCATCGCTCAGGAAGATGACAGCAGGACTTCCTTCACGTTGGGGGAATGCAGGCAGTTGGCTTGCAGCATGCTCAAATGCATAGCATTAGATTTCTGTTCATAATGCAACATGCATTAAATCCAGGGGGCCCAACTTGATTTTGGACCCCCAATAAACAAGGAGCTGATCATACTCTTTTTTTTCCAGGAGATTGCACGGCAGGATATTGGTGCAAAACTGGTGCTCAAGTCCATAACCCCGTGGATGGCGTGTCTGGACATCCTTGCCCACCTGGACATTACTGCCTCTCAGGTAGGGAAGTTCACAGTCTTATTCCAAAGCTTCAATGTTGCTTTTTATTTTTCAAAGACAAATTCCAGAATTCCCCCAACCAGTCAAGCTATGAGCTTCTGGGAGCAATACTCTACGAAAGCAACTTTCTAGTTTGACTTTTCTGGATGTCCTTGAACAGCAGGGATAGGCAGCGTGTGGGTCTCCAAATATTGTCCGACTGAATCTCCTAGAGTTTTCACCTGGGTTACATTGGCTGGGGTTGGTGGGACTTCTAACCCAGAAAGTGCTGGAGAGCTTCGCTTTGCCCGTCTTTACTCTACAACTTCTGGTTGCTTTCACACAGTGTCCAAGTGAGTTTGGATCTCTCCTCTCCATCCTTGTAGGAACTCATGCACCATCTCCCTGCCCACCTGGAACCTGGTCGGAGGACAGAGGGAATCAAAACCTCCATAGCTGCAGGTCCTGCCCTGGAGGATATTACTGCAATGGCACTGGCCTGGTGTCCCCGTCAGGACATTGTGCACCAGGGTATGGTGTAAAACAGATGTTGACGTCTTACAAGGCACAGTTGTGACCCTTGGGAGACAGGTAGCTGCAGACTAGATAGCGTCGGAAACATAGACAGTCATGGGGAGGTGAAGAGAAAGAGAGAGAGAGAGATCTCAGTTGATTTTATCCACAAATATAAATTGTACTGGAGAATTTATCTTTTCACCTGCCTCTCTTAAGTTCTGGATTTGAAGTGGGGAACTGGGCTGACAGTGTGGCCTAGGAATCATCACTTTGCCCTGGAACTTAAGACAATGAAGGTTCAAGATATCACTAAGCCAAGAAACCCACCCTAGGAAAGGATGCAAAACTTTAGTTATTTCAGTCTCGGAGAAGAGAATAAAAATCCCAGCCTTTTTCTCTGTGCTGGCTGAGATGACAAGAGTTTTTTTTCTGTAAGCCACCTAGAGTAGTTTTAACTGACTAGATAGGCGGGATATTAAATAAATAAATAAATAAATAAATAAATGAATGAATGAATGAATGAATGAATGAATGAATGAATGA